TAGGAAGTATATTAAAAGAATGTATATATAGGTTTGAAAGGAAACCGAAAAGAGTAAAACAGGTTCAATAATGTATAAGAATGTATGAAATAGCATGAATTCCATCTACTTAATTTTGATATTTGGTATGAAATAGCAACAATCCCCCAAACCCAATTTTTAACTATTTTCATTCTGTTAAGACTCAGATTCAGATTTGAACATGTTCTGAGTTAAACATTTGATTCATTTTTTATCAAATGATTAGCTATTACTTCTATCTATTTACAAATTATATTGGTCTATATGCATATTTGATTTGTGTTTGTATTTTTTTTTTTTTTTTGAGAGCAATTCAAACATGGGTTTTACTATATCATTAAGTGTTTCATGAGATGATCTGGATTTGGTTTAGGAATAATAATGCTACCACAAGAAATTTAAATGGGTCTTCAAAGAGGAGATTTAACTGGATTGGCATGTGAATCTGGTTTGATTATTGGTTATCTCTGGTGTGAAGTTTCAAGACTCATTGGAGTTTTCTTCCAAATTCTAATATTGGATGGTTGTCGGTGCTCTAAACTCAGTGCATGTTGTGGGTTTCGGAACCAAACAGGCCAATTCATGAGGGAACGAAAGTTGATTTTGAGGTTTGGACATAGCAGTGCCTTTGGAAATGTTTGTTTTAGACACTGCAATTTTCTTTGGATTGAATTCAATTCATATGGGTTTTGCATTCAATTCATATGAAAGATTGGAAAACTAAATATAAATTTTGGACATAGCTTTGTATGTATCATGTCTGTTTTTCCATTCTGTATGCCAATTACAAATGGCTTGTTCCTCTAGTAACAATAGCAACATAAGATTGAAACGAAGATTGTGCGATTGTGGATAACAGCTGCCAGGCACACCTGTCAAGTCAAATCAAATGGAAATAAAGGCCGTGTGTACTTTGTGTGTCCATCAAATATGTAAGCAGTATGGAAAAATTTATTAGCCTCATTTGATTAACTGATTGTCATGCATTGTAGGTTAGTGAGGAACACTGCAATTACTTCAAGTTTGCAGATGATAATGATGACGACGAGATCTTCAATGCTACACCTCGTACATCTATAAAAGCGAAGAATTAACGATTGAAGCACAAGGGTTTATGAAATGGATAATGAATTTGAGAGCATGGAGAAGGCTTCGAAGGGTGGAGATGAAATTGAATGTGATGCTTTATGTCATTGTATTTTGTATTATTTTCTATTTTATAATGTAAATTACTAAGTTGATAGCTTTTAGGGAATTTGATGGATGTAGTTATGGACTTAATGGACTTGATACTTTACTCATTGGCTTTGGATCTTGATTTTGTATCTCACTTTTGCCTTTGGACTTGGTTGATGTTATATAATCATTCGGTTGGATGTAATATGTGAATGTGTTAATCCGTGTGTGTGTTTAATCTGTACGAGGTTGGGATGATTCACCTTAGGTGTGTTTAATCTGTGGGTGTTGGATGACATTTGGTGACAGGTTGGATGTAATATGCGTGTGTGTTTTAATCTGTTCACCAGTGGGATGTAGGAAGAAGAACTTTTAACTGTCTGCTTGTTTGTGAATGGCAAATTTGTTCACCAGGTTGGTTTGTGAATGGCAAATTTGTTCACAAATTTGAAGCTGTTGATGCAATTGAACATTCAAAAACTCAAGTGTAAGAATGTTTGTCTATGCTTGATCAGAGATAGATGCACACATTAGAAGCATGACCAAAAGTTGAGAGGAAATTATGAAGAAGAGGTCTCAATGACAAATTCCATCTGAAAAAGAGAAGGGCAAGTTAATTTATTTTAAACTTAAATGTTGGTTTTGCTCAAAAATTATGGTTATCAAAATAAATGTGTTGAGAAACCTGCTAAGTTTGACTTAGTGTGGACATAAACAAGAAAGGAAAAATACACCTTACTTGATGTGCCAGTATAGAATTCCCATCATTTTACTTCACCTACTCCACTACAACTCCACTTCACCTACCTCCACTTCACCAACACTCCACTTCACCTAACCCACTATCACCTCCACTTACCACCTACTACCACATTTTTTCTTTCTATATATAGATTTGTATAGATATTGCTAATTAATCAATTGTAATACATTCAATATCAATCAATATAAATATTTTTTAACATGTATCAGAAGCAAGGTTGAGAAGCTATAAAATGCTCTCACCGGGCGGCAGCCTCGCCTTGGCCGCCGGCCGAACTCTACACATACCTACACTCGCTGCCTCAGGAAGTTCATAAGTTGAAACTCTTCTTCTCACACATATTTGTTATCAATGCGCACATCGAGCCACCATGCTCCAACACCAGCTCTCTCCCATCGGTAAGCTTTCAATAGGGCATGTTTTTTTTTTTTAAAGAGGCTCTCAGATTTCATTCTCCATTACAAGCAGTATGAACCCGGGCCGCACCAATTCGCCTTTCTCTTCATCTCAAGATTGCTTTACAATCCATTCCAGAAAATCTCACTTTCATTCAATTTGCCCATTTTACTTGTAACCAATACTCCTGAAGTTTTAGAAGGGTTTGATCGACTTCATGTTATAGATTGACATTGTTATGGTGGGCAGTGGGCTTCTTTGATGCAGGAGCTTGCTTTGAGAAGTAATGGGCTCCATCACTGAAAATCACTGCTTCGCGTTCTCCTCAACCCATGATTCAGCTTGAGGGACTCGGCTCACTAGAGAATTTGATCCATTTTGCCGGTGGGAAAAAGATGCGATTGAATATTCGAATTGTAAACATTGATTCGTTGAGTTCTGCTTCATGGTCACTTGCCTTTTCATGTCTCTGACAATGAGTTGTGCCAGTCAATCTCTCCTCCAAAATGTCCGACTTTCGTTCATATCTACTCAGCGAGCGACGGAGGGAAGAAACGCGTTTTACTGTTCCTCTCTCTCTCTACTTTCCTCACTCGACCCACTTTCTTCCCAACCCCCTCTCTCGGTTCTGGTTCAAGTCATGCTGCCATCCTGGGTCTACTGAGGTGCCTGCTCCTACTCCAACCGGAAACACGCCTCGCCACTCGCTTCCGCCGCGAAAGCATCTGCGGTTGCGAGCGGGAAGAAATGTCTGATCAGCCATTGGATGCTCTAGATAAGAGAGAGCAATTAAAAGACTTTACAAAAAAAAAAAACCCAGGATTTCCATTCAATACCAGCACCATCCATACACATGTTAATAACAGGTCTGTTCTTTTATTTATTTCTTTATTGTTTTTGCTTCTACACCGCCAACTTTGTCCCCACTTTCTTTTCTTTTTATTTTTTATTATTCATCACTCATACCTCTTTCTTTTATATTATATATTATATATTTTTTTTTATTTTGATACACTTTCCAGCGTGTTCCGATTCTCTTTCCACTTTCTTTTATTTCTACTATATATCTACATATTTTTTACTCACATACGAGCCCATAGATTTACCCACTTCGTTTTTTTAACTCTTTATTTTTATTTTCTTTCATTTCCCACACTCTTTTTTTTTTTTTATATAATCCCATCTACCAATTATTTTTTACTATTTTCTTTTTAATCCCTTAATTTTTCTTTTTCCTTTTAAATTTTTTTATTTTTCCACAAAAAAAAAAAATAAAACCAACAACATTTTACAATCTTATCAGTGTTCTTCATGCCGCGGATCAAACCCCGATCCCATTTATACACCAAAAAAAAAAAAAAAAAAAAAAAAAACACACCAAACAACCCACCTCCACAGCAGATTTTTTTTTCTTTCTACATCGACAGCCGGTCTCTTCTTTCTTCCTCTTCCTGCGGCAGTCCTTGACGTGCTGCCTCTGTGTTTTCCACGCCGCCAAGCACGTCACTGTCCCCCATACTAATCCTCCACGGCTGCATATGGAGGACTCCCATAATCGAACATTCACGGTGGCTTCCGTCTTCAGCCCTCCCATTGTTTTCTGCCCTTAGCACGCTTATCTCTGCTCGGCGACATCCTTTTACATGCGTTGAGCAGAGCCAGTGGGAGTTTTAAATGCTGACCTCATTTGTCTACTCTGCAGCCGTTCGACAAGTTTGTGACGCCGTCAGTGCTTATCCACACATGCCTTTCAGAGTATACTGATGGCCTTCCACATCCGACTGCACTGGCCATTCTTTGCCTTCCACCGACCGATCGGGAAAAGTTCAACGAGCCAAACTCCGGCGCTTGGTTTGAGTTTTTCCAGTGCCACCGCACCAGTTCTCTCTCTCGTTGACTCGTTGAGGTCTGGAAAGGAGGTTGAGCAGCCCGCGGGAAGACGATGCAGCCATTTCTAGGCAACGTGTCACACACTATCTCTCTCAGAACGTCTCTCTCAGAAAAGCAAGTGTTACAGATCTCTTCTCAGAAATCTCTCTCAGAATATCTCTCACAGTTTTTTGCCTCAAGCTCAGCCTCTGTCTTATAGCCGAAGCACCAAAAAACGGCGCAATTTTCGCGCGGGGCTCTACCACCAGCCGACAAACGGAGGCACGCAGCCAAGGGCGCCCACGTGCTTAGCATCAGTCGCACACCTTTGATGAATTGGGTGCACGCCTTTTGATGGCACCCTTTGACCAAAATTGGGCACACCTTTTGAGGTTGCACTTTAAAGGGTCCGTACAAGACTCTTAAACTTCTCCGACATTTTGATACCGGTTAGCTCCTGTATGGCGTCCGACAAGACTCTTGTAATGTCCCCACATGGATTCCGGTTAGTTCTACAAAGGGTCCAGCAAGACTCCGTAAACGTTCACAACCACTGTTCACCACATTTCTTTTTCTACAAACGGTCGACATGACCCCATAAAGATGTCTTCTATCCTCGTACTACGTTATGACAACCCCATACAGTGTCTTCACCAACGGTGTCGACACGCACCAGTACAGTGTCACCTATCCTTTTTATTTTTTATATTTTCTTGTTTATGTTACCTTTCCAAACTCAATTGTTAGTTCTCTCTCCTCCTTAGTTTCGAGGGGCTGTTAAGAATTTCCCATCTTACCTGTCACCTACTCCACTACACACCTCCACTTACACCTACTCCACTTCACCTAACCCACTATCACCTCCACTTACACCTATCTTACACATTTTCTTCTATATTATAGATTGTATAGGAATTGATAATCAATCTTGTAATACATCAATATCAATCAATAATACATTATTTTTTAACAAGTTTTCGTTCACCCAACTGACCCCTGAAGAGCTCCAAAATCAATTTAGGCAAACCAACAAATTACAATTTCACATTCTGGATAGAATTCATATTTGTCATTCACAAACAACAAATTTGAATTCATATTCATTCTAAACTGCACACAGAATTTTTGTGACACAACACAGAATGTCCAAACACAAATTTGTCACATTCATTCTGCTCCTTTCAAAACAAGTTCACAGAAAAAAAAATACAGATCTTCCAGAATCTGTTAAAACCTGTCCAAAAATTCAGAATCTGTTTCGTACATGTCCAAAAAATACAGATATACAGATCTGTTAAAACCTGTTAACATTCATTCCAGAATCTGTCCAAAAATTCACATTCAAATCTGTAAAAACCTTGTTAAACAGAATCTGTTTGAACATACAGATCTTCACAGAATCTGTGTTTAAACATACTGATCTTGACATAATCTGTTTAATATAAATACATTCTACAGAACCTGTTTAACAGAATCTCCTGTTCAGAATCAAATATAACCTGCTTAAAAACATACAGAACCTGTTTCAATATAACTTCTTCAAAATATAATCTGTTCAGCATGTGTTAAGAAAAACCAGTCAAAAAATAAAAATATCTGTTCAGCATGTGTTACAAATTCCATACTACGAAACTAAAAAAAAAATTGAGCATTTGGATCCACATCTATATTGAAGTCGACAAAAGTTGAACCATCTATATTCGTCATTCCTGATTCACTCACAGATGAGCTTCCAACTTTGTCCACCATTTGCAATGCGCTCTCTTGTGTCTCCGTCCATACAAGGAAAATAGTAGGATTGAGCTTCCGCACCTTATGATACATTATTAAAAAAATATCATAATAAGTTTCAAACATTTAAATAAATACCATACAAAACCAATTGAGTGGACAGAAACACATACCTGATCGTACATATTATTTTCATTCCATCCGTACAACCGAAATTCAACTTACGAGGTTCACATTGACCCATCTTACAACCCTATTAAACACACATTGTGACAAAGTTAGACAAAAAGAAATTCAGAAATTTACATATAAGCAAAAAATAAAAAAAATATACCTGCACTTTTGTTGCCTTTTTATTCTTTCCCTTTAACCGATTCACTATTTCGTTCCACCTTGCTCACCTTCCGTTTCGTACATGGACGCCTCTTCGGCGAGCAACCAAAAGACTAAGCACCTTGCGAGTAGTACTACAAGGTAGCACATTACTGCTACAAGGTGGAACAATACTACTAGAAGGTGGCACATTACTCGCACAACGAGATTCATCTTTCTACTCTTTCCTTGATTTCTCTCAACCCAAGTTGAATGGCTTTGTGTTCTACCATCATCGTTGGAAGCAATTTCTAAATTTCATCCAATGTCTTGTGTAGTTCTCATGTACCTTTGCATTGAGGGCAGCCCCGGATTTCGTGTATGTTGTTGGAATACATGTGTACCCTCTTTCCAAATCTTTTTCCATCTCGACATAATGTACTTATTAGGAACCTCATATATGCTCCTCTCAATGAGCACACTAAGGGAATGGGCACACACGATCCCCTAAACTCAAACCACCGACACACACATTTGCATTTCAAATTCAGTTGAATTAAAGTAAACAAGAAATTCAACTTTCTTATTTTCTCACCCACAAGCACAGCTTCCTTGACATGATTGGTACAAATGGATCCCTCCTCCTTCACAAATTCGCATGACAATACCTAGTCACTTCAATTCTACCTGAACTTCTTTAAATTTCCATTTGTGTACTGGCTACACGAAATTGCTTCTCAAACTCATACACCGTTAAACAATCATACAATCTATCTCGAGATTTGAAGTCTGCTTTGGTCTCCTTCTCCACCTTACTTCTCAATGCATTGTCGTACTGTTCAACAAATTGCTTTAAAGTAGTCTTTGAGTTGACATAGCCATCAAAAACCGCATTCATGCTCTCACTTCGCTGTGTAGTTGACATGCCAGCCCAAAATATATCTTTCACATAGGCAGGAATCCACCTATGTCGCTCAGCATATAATACTCCCAACCACTCGTTGTCATGGAGGCTAAACTTTTCAATCATCGTTTGCCATTCCTCATCAAATTCATCTTTTCTGAAAGAATCATATACTGCATTTTGTAAAGCGAATTTGATGGCTTCATATTGGGAATATCCTCTCAATTTCTCGGGAATTTTCTTCATTACATGCCATAAACACCAACGATGTCAAGCCTCTGGGAAGACAATTTGTATGGCATTTTGCATGGCTCTGCACTGGTCAGTTATAATAGCTTTTGAAGGAGTGGCTGACATGCAATTTAACCATTCTTTGAATAGCCAAACAAATGTGTTCGTGTTCTCATTAGATAATAGCCCACAACCAAACAAGATTGACTGTCCATGGTGATTAACTCCTACAAACGGAGCAAACGACATATCATATTTGTTTGTAAGATAGGTCGTGTCAAATGAGACAACATCCCCAAATGCTTTATAAGCCGCCCTACTCCTTGCATCCGCCCAAAACAAGTTTTGAATGCGACCATCTACATCAAAGTCAATTGCAGAGTAGAAGTTTGAATTTTCTTGTTGCATCCTATGAAAATAAAATGCAACTGATTCAGCGTCTCCTACCCTAAGCCTCAATCTTCTAGCATTTTCAATGTGGTTCCTTACATCTCGTTCATCAAATGTTAATGCCTCATATCCCCCCGCTTCAACAATTATAGAATGAAAATTCCTAGATACCCCTATTCCTGCTTCATCATTTATTTCTAATCTTCTCTTCACAGGAGTACGAATCCTCTTATTCATTGGAAAATGGCGTGAGTCGCTAGGAATTAAATCATGCGTATGGTCGCTCTTATCCTAGCTTTACAATCAATTTTTGATAACAAATATGGTTTCAGGGGGTTTACTTCTGATCTTTTTGTCCTCTTCTGCGCCCGAGTACATTCAATTCCAAAGTATTTCACCTTTCCATCCGATCTAACATTCTGTATTCTGTAAGCTATAGCAAATCCAAGGTTTTTAGCATATTTTGCATAAAACTCGTGAACTTTTTGCTTTGAGGTAAACCACATCCCCTTCTTAGGTTCTTCAATTTCGTCACTCTCATTTAATGAAGGATTGTTCTCTGCTTCCTCAACTTCCTCACCCCCACTCAATGTAGGATGGTTTGAATCAATGTCCATTGTACCTTCAAACTCAAATGCGAAGTGTGAAACAGTTTGTATACATCACACAAATTATGTTCATACAGGTTCTGTTCAGAAATTATGGTTATGTTCATATAGGTTCTGTTCATACACAAATTATGTTCATCAAACTCAAATGCAAAGTGTGAAACAGTTTGTCCAAAACATGTTCTGTTCATACAAAAAACTTATGCATAATGACTTAACTGGGTTTTGAACCTATCACTTAGAACAAAGAGCACATTGAGACACATTTAATTACAAAAATGGATAATACCCTTGGACAAGAAACAGAATGAACTAGGTTAGTCCACAAAAATGGATTTCTTGATTGTCTTTGGACAATTAGATGAACAACACAGAAATTCTGAAATCGACAAATTCATTTTTGTGAAATCCACAAATAGATGAATAGCACAAAAATTCAGAATGAACTAGGTTAGTCCACAAAAATGGATTTCTTGATTGTCTTTGGACAATTAGATGAACAACACAGAAATTCTGAAATCGACAAATTCATTTTTGTGAAATCCACAAATAGATGAATAGCACAAAAATTCAGAATGAACTAGGTTAGTCCACAAAAATGGATTTCTTGATTGTCTTTGGACAATTAGATGAACAACACAGAAATTCTGAAATCGACAAATTCATTTTTGTGAAATCCACAAATAGATGAATAGCACAAAAATTCAGAATGAACTAGGTTAGTCCACAAAAATGGATTTCTTGATTGTCTTTGGACAATTAGATGAACAACACAGAAATTCTGAAATCGACAAATTCATTTTTGTGAAATCCACAAATAGATGAATAGCACAAAAATTCAGAATGAACTAGGTTAGTCCACAAAAATGGATTTCTTGATTGTCTTTGGACAATTAGATGAACAACACAGAAATTCTGAAATCGACAAATTCATTTTTGTGAAATCCACAAATAGATGAATAGCACAAAAATTCAGAATGAACTAGGTTAGTCCACAAAAATGGATTTCTTGATTGTCTTTGGACAATTAGATGAACAACACAGAAATTCTGAAATCGACAAATTCATTTTTGTGAAATCCACAAATAGATGAATAGCACAGAAATTCAGAATGAACTAGGTTAGTCCACAAATTCAGAAATCCATTTGTGGATAATACCATTTTTGAACTAGGTTTCTATAAACATAATTTTGGAGTCTGATAATACCTAGCTGATTTATACATAATTCTCTCTCCGGTCGAGTTCTCAAACATTTCCCTCTATAAAATTATGTATAAATCAACTAGGTTTTTATAAAATTATGTACAAAGATTACCACTACTAAATCAATAAATACATTACTAACAAAACAGCAGCATTCTATGAACTAGATTTCAGAAGAAGAAATAGAGACATACCCTTGGACAAGAAACAGAATGAAGAAGAAGAAACAGAGGCCTCAGAAGAAGAAATGCCGAACAACACAGTCACTTCGGCAGAGTTTTTGCTGGTCGTCGGTGGCCACCCAGGTCGGTGGTCGATCTCAGTGGTATTCTTCTTCGACGGGCTCCTCTTTCTCTCCTCTCCTCTCTTTTCTTCTTCTATTTCACGCGCGGTGTTGGTAGATTGACAGTGATCTAAAAACTCACCTTTATCAATTTCGGGGGATTCGGGGGGTAAGTTTTCGAGCGACGTAGCGGAACTGTTTCACAATAACAGCAAAATTTTAAAAGGAAGAAGTTTTACATTATTGAAATGTCCCCAAAAAAAAAAAAGAATTCAAAAATCAAAACTAAACCTGTAGGTGTTCTAAAAGGTAGTTGTTTACACACAAAAAAGAGGGAAGAAATAGAAATAATTTTCAAAAACAATTGGCCCCACAAATTTTCTATATTTTCAAAAACTGAAAACAAAAAACTGATTCACAAATTTTGAGGTTTATTTCGAGTACAAATAATGTCCTGTTAAAAGAATCCAAAATACAGAATAGAAATAAAAACATATGGCAGTATCACAAGACTCTTATCCTTAATTGAGCAAAAGTGAAATCTGATTACTAAACTGAAATTTACAACCAAAAAAAAAAAATACTTGTACAAAAAAGCGTCACAAAAAGCCTCTCATCAGCAGAAGAAATATCATAATATAGTTGAGGGGCAGGAAACAAGTCTCCTACACATTTCTGTTCTCCATTGTGTGCATGCTAGGTATTTGACAACCACCATCCTTCATTCATGAGGAAGCTTCTGTTTAGTCACCTGTTTTTCTCAGTTCACACTATTTTTTCCATTCAAATACCACCTGAACAAAAATCAATGGTTCAAATACAACTATCAAACAGAAACCCATAGTTCGGCTATACCTTCGATTCAGCACTTGATATTCCAACCATGAGTTTTTGTTTGGTAGTTGATATCCAAACTATTGATTTTTGTTCACTAGTTTATATCTGAACAAACAAAAAAAAATGGTATGAACTGAAAGAAATGTGGTGTGCAAATGGAAGCTCCCCTAGTCCATCTTCAGGTACGGCTCTTTTTCCCATCTTTACCCTCATCGCATGTCAATAATGACCCACCATTTACTGCATTTCTTTCTCTGCAATCTGAACTGTCTCCATTGGTATTACCAACTTCACATATGTTACCACAGCTTTCAGTATTCTCTTTGGTAATAGAACCTTCATGAGAATATAGCTGCAAATTCAAACTGGCATTGTTGTTAATGTCTTCATGGAACAACTCTTTTCTGCAAGAAACCAGCCAAACCAACTCACAATTTTCAGAATTTTTTTCTCTGCAGTTTGAACTTTGTTCAACATTAGCACTATCGCCTCCACAACTAGTTGCAGATGTCAACTGCACCAACAAATCATTTGGCGATGAACGGCTCTCATTTTCTTGACTTTTAACTGAATCATCGCAGCTTAGCTGCAGATTTGAATTCCCATCGCTGCTTAAACCTTCATCCAACTGTTCTTTTTTACCAAACACCGGCCTAACCAACTTTCTGCGCTTATGCTCTGGTTTCTGCACAGAGCCTTTTGTCTCATCAACTACAGTCTTAACAGAACCTTTTGTTTTGGTCCCACCCTGAATTTCCCTAGTTTCACTCCGGCGCCTAAAATCCACAACACGTGTCTCTTTCGCTATGTCATCGCAATTATCATCAATAACTTGTTCAAGATCATTTTTCATCATTGTCAATTTATCACACGCTATTTGATTGTAAATCGTATCCCGCCTTTTAGTCCTACGCATGTTCTCCATATCATGCCGTCTAACTAATGGAAGCTTTCCTGGCTTCATTATCCTGTGATTCAGTCTCTGATGTAGCATGTCCATGACTTGATCGACAGATGCATCCGTATCACATTCATCACAATCCGAAGTATCATTTTCTTGCCCAGGTAGTTCCGATGCTGAAGTCAAACGAGAAAAAACGCTAATTCTCTCGCTTTTAGAATCAGCGCACATGCCCTTTGAATGCTGGTAGTACTCAATATAACTGTTGTATGATTTTTCATGGGAAGAACCACATTGTAAATCGCCCATGTTGTTGTCAAAAGAAGGAGCATCCTGGATTCTAAACGCTTGATTAGTCTCATGCTGTGGAATTTTATGTTTGTATCTGCTTTGTGATGCATCGCCATGCTTACCAAACTCAACGTAAGGGCTCTTGGCTTGCCTCTCATAGATTTCGCTCCTTGAAATAGGTATAGAAGCAGAACTGGACTTGGAAAATAGAGGCTCTTTATAGACTTCATGACCAGTGACTCTTGCTTCCACCTTTCCATATCCACCACTCAACAAGGAATGGTTGGGGTTGGTCGGCAAGGAAACTTTATTTACACAATTAGAAGCAACATCAAGGTTCTGGCTTAAATCTTTTGCCTCCAAACGATATGGTGATGCCCGTTTCACAGAAGAATCAAAGACATTCCCAAAAGAACTCCGATGAGGAGTAAAATCTCGAACTGAGTGAGAAGAAGTGCAATCAACCGCAACAGATGATGAGCGTCTATGATGAATGTCGGGGAATTCAGGATCATAAGGAAAAGCTCTTGTAACAATTGCATCATGAGATGTTGGATAAGAGAACTCAAAGGTTTTTTGTTCCATTGAACGAGGGAATGCAGAACAAGGCTTTTGTTGATCTTGACAAAAAGAATAATTTGTTTCCAATTGGGGCTTGCTTGAATAGAATGAAGGGTTTTGCCTAGACTGACAAAAATCGCTGAACCCAGTTGACAATGGAGGCCCAAAACAATTTTCCATATTGAATGCATTATCCACTCTATCGATATTTAAGGACATGCCTTCATCAGCTACTCTTCTTATTTTATCCAAGGGATACCCAGAGTGCACAGTTGAGATGACTTGCCCAAGATTATTGCCAACTTTATGTTCATTTTCCATACTCATGCGCGCCAAAAACCTATCACGGTCATTTTCTTTTCTTCCATAATCCAGTTGGTTTGCAAAATGCTCATTTCCCATTCCCACTCTATCACTCATCAAAAACATGGCATTATCAGTTTCTTTTTCCACTTTGCCAAGAGGGTTCTCCAAGTACTTAGCCAATAAGAACGGCCTTAAACCATTGTCCACATGATGTTCACTTTCCATCCTACCATTTAGAACAAATTTCCCATCATCGCTTGCTCTTCTCACTCCACCCAAAAGGTTCTCCTGGCAATCAGTGGAGATGATTGGCTCAAGACCATTGTCCAAGTTACAGTTATTTTCTACCCTACAATCCATGAAAAATCTGTGATCATCAGTTGTTCTTCTTGCTTTAATAGCAGGGTTCTCAAGGTGATCAGTTGATGTGACCAATCCAAAACCATTATCTGGAGTACGTTTGTCTCCCAAAATATCCCTTATTGGAAACCTGACATCATCGGTGGCTCTTTGTACTTCAGCCAAAGAGTCCGCAAGGTACTCAGATGTAAAAATAGACCCAATATTTCTGTCCATGATACGCTTAATTTCAATTCTGTCACTTGGAAGAAGCTGGCTTTCTTCAGCTTCTCTCCCTGATTTACACAAGGAATCCCCTGGGTGGTCAATGCAGATATTGTCCACATCACAATCATATTCTATCCTATCTTGCATTGAAGACCTGCCATCATGATCTCTTCTTCTTTTACCTAAAGATGTTCTGGGTTGCTCCGTCAAGATGTCATTCCCATGATAATTGTCACTACTAAGTTCATTCTCTGTTCCATCACTCTTCAGAAATCTGTCATCATATAGTCTTCTAGCATTACTTGAAGGTCTTCTAACGTTACTTGAAGAGTACTCGTAAAATTTTGTATTGATGGATGGGTTGAGACCATCTTCCTTGACAAATTTTTCAGCACTATTTCTCACAAAAATCCTGTCATTACCAGCTTCTCTTCTGTCTTTCCCAATTGGTTCGCTGGCTTGCCTACTAAAGTGTCTCTCAGGTAGTTGTTCATTTTCTAACTTTCTTGAATTAAACAACCATAGTAGCCTGCAAACCTACACATGAACCAGAGGAAAGGAGAAAAATAAATAGAGGGAAATGAATAGTTCAGAAGCTAATATTTCCTTTCATTTGAAGTCGGCTTGATGGGGAGAGACCAAACCTGATCTTCAGACAGTCCAAAGTTGAACTTGTTCCTTGAAAAGTAATTCTCTTTAATAGCATCTCGAAATTCATGTTCAGAAAGTGGACTACAATACCAAATAGGGGTAAAACGAACCTGCAAGGAGATATAAAGGTCAAAATCCACAAATATGATAGCGAGAAAATCCAAGCCTCATGCCACAACCATTTGACTCCAAACTTTCTCCCAACATACTACCAAAGTAATTTTATAAAGAACTAAATAAAAATAAAGGGATGGGGGGGATCATCAGGTAAAGCATCCATACCTGTGCGGGGAACTGACTCCCCGACGAACTAAATGCATGGGGCACTAAATTCATTACCCCATTAGAGCTTGCCCGAAACACACCATGAAGCTCTCTCCTCTCAAATTCGAATAGAAATAAAACCATTCCAGCTTTAACCTGTTTTACAAAGTTTGCCTGAGCAGAAGGAAGGCCTAAAATTTTCCGTCTAAAACATTCTTCTTTTGTTGCAATGTTAGACATGAAGATTGCACCAATCTTGGGAACACCTCCCTGAACACCTTCCACCTCTTTGTACTCCATTGAAAACCTTGCAGACTGCCATTACATCCAATATGTGATAATGATAATGATAGTAGCAATAATCACATAACCAAGGCAAGGTAGTTGCAAAACAAGAAAAATAAAATCAAACATACATAGGGCTACAATACTGTTTGCTGACATTTCATACTATCCTGGAAATGCTTCTTCATCATGCAACACACACACAAAAAAAAAAAATGGGATGGAAAAAAGGTTGTGCCACATTACAATGTATCAATGAAATTTATCATTCTAAGATTAGGATCACATTTAAATTCCACTCCAACCTCACTGATCCCAAAGAACCATTTACACTCCATTTGGATTAAAGGGAGGGGAGTAAAGGGAAGTGTTAGTTGTGAGGGGAAGGGAAGAAAGGAGCAAAGAAAAGAGGGGAAGTATCCTCACTCTTGTTTTGTTTGACAATACTTAATTAAGGGGAAGGAAGAATTACTTTTCCTTCTCTTCGTTTGGCAAGAGAATAATCATAAAGGGGAAGGGGTGCATAGGTTACTTATGCAATGTTTAAAATATAACTGAGGGCCATACTAGGTATTCCAAAATATTATTACGAGAAGCTTTCACTTCCCCTTTGTTTCCTCCCAAATTTGGAGGGGAAGAGAAGTGCTCAAAATGTTTGTACTCTCTCCCCCTCCCAACAACGCTATGCACTTCCCTTCCACTCCTTGCAACCAATCCAAACATGATGTTACCAACTCTTCCCCTCCTAAATCATCAATCCAAACAGAGGCTTAGGTATAGGTGGCTTTATAAGAGAAGCCCATGTAGGCATATGTGAGAGGAATCAAGTTCAAGCAAAGCATAGAAACAAATCCAAGTGAAAGTAGGAAGATCATAGTTATAGCAACAAAGGAATGGTGAACATTTTTTATATAAAAAGGAGAATCCATAAGCAAAGAGATGAAATCCAAGAGCAATGAATAAAATGATTACACAATACAATGTGAACTTAGATAATACATAGTCCAAAGGTATACAATGTCAGATAATTATTCGCATTGTGAGCACTCTATATTTATATCTGATCATTCAAAAAAATTCAGCATCGTTGCATAAGTTGTTTAGAAAATAAGATTTGATTATAAGAAAATGGTAGCATGCCATTAAGTTATGTTTTGGACACTAGCAGCACCCCAAATATCAATACCACACACTTTGTCACTAACTCCTACAACATTACAATTGTCCAAGCATTATGAAGAATGACTTATAATCTCCCGAAATTTTATTGCGTAGCTACTAAACGTGTGATATAACAAAAGTAACCATTAATTTTGCTGAGAAAAATTCTCACACTCCCGTTATATATATAATAGACATTAAAAAAATCATTTCTCTTGGCAATTCATTAATTTTGTTTCCCTATTCATCTTCCCTTTTCTAGACAAATCCAGGCAAATCGAAGATCCTAGCAAAGAGTTATGTCAAATAGAATAGGCATTAGCCAGATGTAAAACATGATTTCTTGTAATTTCTAAATAATTTTTCTTGAAATAACAAAATATCTGATCATCAATCGAAACAATAAAAAACACCACTAATAACACACAGATAGAAAGACATAATTTTGTAATCTAAATAGGCTATAAGGACATTTTCAAAAATCAAAATGTCACATTGTGTCAACACCATCACAAGCTTCAATTATATAGTAGTATAGATGGATAAATAGAAGATATATATATATACAAAAAGAGAGAGTGAACCTACAAAATGAAGTCTGAGTTGGTAATTCGGATCTAATGAATGAAAGACGAACAAAAATACAAGCAAAGACGATCCAAACAGTCCGTTCAGCTTTCAAGTAGATGGGGACACTTGAATCAAATCAAAGATCAAAACAATACGATACGAGATCATAAAGTTGGAACCGAAACAACGATTTTCGATCAAATGACAAATAAAGTAATCATAAAACCGGAACTAGTCCATCAAAATGCACCAAATCATCAACACAATAAAAATAAGAGAAAGGAGCATCAATTAGGTCATAAAAATGGAACAAAGAGATAGAAAGAGAATGGAGATAAGAGATATTGTGTATACCAAGCAACGAAAGAAGGTGAGATGACAAGGCCGATGGGGTTGAGGAGTCCGAAGAAATGACGTCTCTGTGTAATGATATGAGATGAGTCCTCCAAAGACGAAACGTCTCTCTCTCTCTCTCTCTCTCTTTCTCTCTCTCTCTATGTAGTAGTTTAGATTGAGAAAAAATCAGAAACCTCTGCGGTTGTGCTGCTGGAAAAAGCCAACTGTTGAATCTTTTTTGCCTCTAAACCCCGCTTTATACAGTTTGTATGGTATATGGGCCCGTAATCGGCATTAGGACCGACACTTTCGTTCTGATCCACTTTGTCAACTGAAATTACGAAGGTGATGTTGGGCCCCATGGCCCATTGTTTGGTTTCTATTTTCAAAATTTTCTTTTTATAAAATTTTATTTTTTTTCATTTTTCATTTTTTTTATTTTTACTGAACTGTTTTAATATTTTAAGTAATTTTTTTAATTTTTAAACACACCTAACATAAATATACTTAAAAAATATAATATTTATGAAAAAAATCTTTAAAAAATTCACTAAATATCAAAAATACAATAAAAAATGAAAAATTCAGTACATTTTTCATATTTTTGTGTATTTATTAATTTTTTAAAATATTTTTTCACAAATATTTTACTATTTAGATACATCTAACTAAGGTACATCTAAAAAAATATAAAAAATTTGCTTAAAATTTTAAAAATATTCACTAAAAATTTAAAAAAAAACATGAAAAATAAAAAAACTCAATATCTAAAAAATTGAATTCAAAAACTTAAAACCAAACACATTGATTGATTTTTTTTGAATTTTTTTTTACTCTTTTTTAAAAAATGTGCCAAAAAAAATAGAAATGTAATATGATTAAAATAAGTCAATAAATCAATAAGTTTGATTTTTTCCTACTTCTCAAAATGTCATGTTTTAATGATTCAAATAGTTAGGTAAATTATAAATGAGTATTGTTGCTTAAATTTAAAAATTAAATTTATTTTTTTAATTTAATAATGTGATAATTAATTAAAATATGTAAGGAAATTTTTATTTTTATTTTTTAAATATCAACCAATCATCTTACTTGCCATCATTGGATCTAGAAAATATACTTATATATCATTTTCTACTAACATATTACCCGTGCTATGCATGGGTGTAAATAAATAATAAAAAAATGAGTTTCTAAATTAAAATAATAATATAAAATTTATTAAAAGTATGTAGTAAAAATAATTTATAATCAATTAAATTTTATTCATTTTTATCAGAGTTACATATAAGAAAATATTTTTATTCAAATGTCATTAAATGTGTGTTATAAATTCTTAATAAAAATTACATGTCAAAAATTAATTGGTAAGAATTAAAGAATAAATTTAAAAAATTATATTTACGATAAAATATATATGTACATTTTGTTTCATAAGTTTCGTAATTTTAATTTTCCACATGATATTAGTAAATTATATTTGTTAATATACTGTTTTTTTTTATTTTGTAAAGCCAAAAAATTTGTATATTCAAAATTGTAAATTGTTTTATGTCATAACTTTTACATAAAAATGGATAAGTATTGATTTGTGGCGTTGGACTAAACATTACAAGTATACTTGACTCAATATTTGTTTTAATGTGACCTTTACCTAATCATTAAAAAATATTTTTATCAGTTATGACTAGTATGAGCTAGTTTGGGGTTCTAATATTGGATGACGTATTAAAAATGAGCCTACAAAATCTAATTCGAGTCGTTTTTTTTCAAAAATTCTAGATTTAATCCTATAATACATCATATTTTAATATCATAAATATATATATGTATATATATAATCTTAATGTTTCCAGTACTTTTTATCAATCAATAAAAAATAATTTTTTTAATTACTTAAAAAATTAAATATCAAGAGAAAAAAATCTATGAAATATGTGAATTGATTTGTATATTTTAGTGGTACAAAAATTTAAATTTAAAAATTTATTAGCTAAGTTTTCAAATTTCTAAATTTAAATTTTTTAATATATTAATTAACTTTCCTTTTGAAATGTGTAAATTAAGGTATTATGAGATTTTTTTTAAAAAATAATTTAATAAAAGACAGCCAATAGAATATTTTTTAATTATTTAAAAAATTAAACATCAATAGAAAAAAGGGAATTTTTTTGAAGGTTCCTAATATTAAGATTTTATAAAATAAATTATATATAATATTTTCATAGTAGTTAAGGTCTCTCAACATTTTCACAGATAAAATTTGACTCAAATAAATTTTGCCCGACTCAAAGAAATTTTAATTTTTACAGACAAATTTTGAAATTTCTCTGTGATCATACCAGAGAAATTTGAGCTGGACAAAATTTTATGAGACGAATTTTCTCTATAAAAATGTTAATGGACCTTAGCTAATAAAAAAAACATATTGAACCTCTCCTACTACACAAAACTGAAAATAAATGTTTCACTAATTTTCCCTATAAAAAATATAGAGTTAATTACCTACAAATCCTATTTACAAATGTTATGGTAGCTTAGGTCCTATCTAAGATTTTTTGAACCAATAAATCCTATTTAGTAAAACCGATAATATTATCAGTTTTTTTCAATTTTTAAAACTAAGAACATTATCAATTTTGCATAATTTGTTCAAGATAATTGTTTCACTAATTGATAAAAAAAATAGAGCATGAAATTAAACGTTTTTGCACTTTTACTTATTAGTTTGATTCAATTATCCGATAAAACCGATAATATTATCAATTTTTTTAGTTTTAAAGTTTTTTTTCCCAATTTTGCATATCAATTAAAGGACACAAAATTTTCAGTTTTGCACAAAAAATAATTCAATTTTTAATTTTTTTTTTTTAAGATGAGTTTTTTTCCATGTATTTTTATTTATTTTTTAGTTTTTTCAATTTAAAAGTTGATGTTTTAAAGTTTTGAAAATCAAAATAAATATAAAATTATCATGTTCCTTTATAAATAATCATAAATGACGAACAATCATTGTTTGAAATGCAATTTTGACTATTATAAATTTAATGGGACTTGAAGGTCCAAAAAATTTTAATTAAAACTTAATTGAGTATAAGTTCATGAATTATGATTTGTGTGTAAATGCTCCAAAAATATATAGAAGACGTGGATTGATTCCTATATTTTAGTGGTACAATAATTTAAATTTTAAAACTGATTAGTTAACTTTTCTTTTCAAATTTTTAATGGATTAATTAACCTTTTGAAGTGTATAAATCAAGGCATAATAATATTTTTTTAAATGATTCGATAAAAGTTAACTAATAGAATTTTTTTAATTATTTTTAAAAATAAGAATTTTAGAAAAAATTGTATAAGTGTTTTGAATTTCACAAGGCTCATCTCATATATTATTAAAAATAGTTTTTTTTTTCATATTTAGGTGACACATTATATGGACTTATTTTTAAAAAAAAAAGAACCACATCAGCATATATTTTATTAATTATATATAAAGTTCTACACACGTGACACCTCATTATTTGATTAATTTCATCACCATGTTAATATTAACTAAATATTTAATACAATTGTGAGTGGTAGAATATAATGAAAAGTGAACTTAAGTTGGACTTAACAAAGAAATTAATCTATAGGCTCAGGATAAATAATGAAAATTTAGGGCAAAAGAGAAAGAAAAAAAGAAAAAGAAAAAATACCTGCAGGTTCTCCAACCTAGCATATAGGATGGTGCATATGGCCCGTTTGGTAGAGCTGTGGGAAAAGTGATTATAACTTATAACTTATAGCTGTGAACATAAACTAATTTTTTACTTATAAATTAAACTTCTCCTCCCTCACTCAAATAATAAGTTGATTTTTGACTTACAAAAAGTTATAAGTTATATTGTTAAGCTAAACCAAACACATCAAAATAACTTAAATTAAGCTAAAAACTGAAATAAGTTGAAAATAAATTCTACCAAACAGGGCCTATACATGCATAGCTTTAGTGAGTCACCTAAATGGACATGTGGAAAATGGACAAGGTGTCACCTGTTGGACAGGTGGTCAAGTTTGAACTTGTTACATGTTGGGGGTGTTTGGTATAGATTATAGGGGTGATTATAATTTTTTTTAATTTATAAATTTGTGTTGGACTGTTTGATGTAGCTTCTGCTTACAGTTTTTTAGGCTGAAATAGCTTACAAAGTTGAGAAAAAATGATTATTTATAAGCTGAGAAAGGAGCATTTTTTATTTCTACTTTCTGATTACTAGCTTTTAACTTACAATAAGTTGGACAAAACACCCCCGTTGAATGGTGATGAAGGATGAAGCATGTTCACCAACTATAAATAAGTTTCTGAGTTACTGGACTTAGGAAAAGAAATATAACTAAGGTGTAGCACACAAGTAGCGAGGAATCAATAGTAGGAAAGTAAAGGCTAAAGTCAATATTAAAGTAAGTTAAATTATATCTTGAATTATCATAACATATTTTATGTATGTCTTGAGTTAATATAATTTATTTTATGCAATTCATGTTTTATAAGCTATGTTAATATTTCAATTACATTGATTATTTTTCTGAATTATATTTGCTTAAATTGAAATTTATAGATATGATTGTTTAAATTTTATAAATTATTTGACAATGGTTCTATAAATAATTATTTTTTTAAGTATCACCACAGGAGTCCCATACCTTAGGGGATTTAAATAAACTATTGGCTTCTGATTGATTACTTTGCGGCATTCTGTTTGTCATAGATCCATTGACCTCTGTTTTGATTATTACTTTGGTGGCCTCTGTTTTGTTTTGTACCGTGATTATAATTATTTTGCTTTACATGATTTATGAATTAAAATTTTGTTATTTAAATAATTTATTTATTCAAACTGAATTGTTCACTATTTTAGCTTAAACAATGATCCATGGTAATTTTTGTACCCTCATGCTCATTGTATAATATTTCTCACTCTGTCACGTGCTTATAACTGTTATCCTCTTTCAAGTAATGAGATTTAGCGGGATTGAGATTAGGAATAAATCACAAATTTTTAAATTTTTTTTTATTTACTATCTATAATACTGATTAGACTCTAGTGATTAAATAAAGCCCAAATGAATATTTGTATTTTAAATAAACTATTTATTTTTGTACCAATTTATTTTATTTTATTTTATCTACTTGCGCTATTAATATACAAATTTTAGAATTATTTTTTATTGTCACGACGTTTAACTCTTGGGTACCAAGATTGGGTCGTGAGAACACAAATTCAAACTTAATTTAAATTATATTAATTTTACCTATTTTATATGGACTCTATTTGACAAATATTTATTTTTCATATATTTTTTATCGTAAATTGAGATAATTCACAAATCTAATTCTAATTTTGCTTTTCACGTTTTTTATTTATTTAAATTCTTTAAATGGTATTAGGATTTTTTTTTTAAATGCTAAATTGCTTCTTCTTTTTTTTTCCCTTCTTATTTTTCCGTTCATTATGCTGTACCCAATACCAATTCTATATTATGGATTTATTATTTAAATTTTATAGTGATTTTATATATGAAATTATACTTATTTTTCTATATTATTTTATATAATCATAACTCACTTGAAGAAAAATCTACACAACAATAATACTTTCGAGGAACCTCTAAAGTTTGGATTTACTGTTTGAGGGGTGGGCAACGGTTTATCCGAACCGCCCAACCCGCATATAAATGGGCGGTTTCGCAAACATAATGCGGGCAGATGCGGTTTGAAATATGACAAATTTGCAAAAATCGCTTGCACTTTAATTATTATTATTTTTTATATACCAACTTTGTAACTTTTACAGAAACACCATTATGTTCTCTTTGACACTAGGATCTTTATTTTTAAGTATTTCTCAACTTTCTTAATGCCGTAGAATTATTAAGTCCTAAATTTGGTTTCTTATATGATTTTCATTGATGATTCATCCACTTTTTTCTAATAAAATTTTCCTTCTGGTGGTCGATGGAAGTTCTAGTTTGATTATTGATTACTGAACTGACAATTCTAATTGAGTAGAACCTTTAATGCATTGATATACATTTTTTTCATGGCAAAAATGCTAGTGTATGGTCTCTTTGTTTTGGGTACTTTCATTTAATGCATTGATATTCAATTTTTATTTGTAAACTTATCAGAAAATTGTTATCACAAATATATAAAATGAATCTAATGCCTAAATTCGATGGGAAAAAAAAACTCAAAAATTAATTTTTAAAGAAAAAAGTGTAAACTGTAAACCACCCGCACATTTGCAAACTCTATCCGCACAAACCGCAAACCGCACTGCGGGCGGTTGCGGGTTGATTTTTTCCCAAACCGCATAGATGCAGGCGGGTCAAAACCGAACCGCAAACTGCACAAAACTCTTCCGCGAACACCCCTAGCTTGAGTTATTTTTTCAATTGTTGAACAATAAGTTATTTTATGTTTTGACATCATATTACAGATGATTAATCACTTCATACACTAGCATATATCTATTATTTGAATGTTTTCATTATTTTTTATTTTCAGGTTTGGATGTTATGTGATTTTTTCTTGGTTAGTCGTTGTTGAATTTCTTTTACATGGTTAATATTTTAATTTAATTAAGAGTGTTTATTTTATAATCTTATAATTCAACATATATCATATAAAATCATTATATGGTAATCCAATTACAAAATATTTATATGTAATTTTTTTAATAAATTTTATATAATTTCTATTTCCACAAATTTTTATTTTCCAAATAAATATGAAATAAAATCAAATAGTTAGAATTACTTTTAATTTTATGTTATTAATTTTGCTTCTAATTTAACTATTATTTTTAATATCAAAATGAATATTTATTTAACTATTTTATAATTTAATATATATCATACAAAAATAGTGAGATGTATATCACTTGAGAGCTAAACAAGGTTAATAATTATTTAATTTACAATTTATTCTCATCACATTTTGAATGAAATGTTATATATTTGTTTTGATTTGAATTGTTTTCAAAGAAGACAAATTGATTTATAAATTAAAAAAAAAAATACACACACACAACTACTATAGGGCATTATATAAATACACTTTTTTATTTTTTAGATTACATTAACTTTATATTTTTCTAAATATCTTTTCATAAAATGTTAAAAAATTAACATATTTAGATAATTTCAAATAACTCAGGGGAACTGAGATGAGAAGAATGAGGGCACCAGGTGTCACTAATAGAGGAGAAAAGCATATAACTTCCATGAGAAGCTGTTTTAGTGTATCATGTCCCTTTGGACAGGTAGTGAGGGCATCACCAGCGAGTCCGGATTCTCGGCCGCCTTACCCGGCAGCCCCCAAAATGACGTCGTTTTGGGGGCAAATTTTCAAAAAAAAAAAGAACGCAGAGGAAGAGAGGGAGGAAGGAGAGGACGAGGGAGGAAGGAGGAGGGAGGAGGAGGCGGAGGCGGGGCGGAGGTGGAGGCGACGGCGGTCGGGCGACGATCGGACGGCTGGCGAGCTCGACGACCTGCGACGGCGAGTCTTCGGCGAATCCGGCTGGCGAGCTCGACGACCTCCCCTCCCCTTCCTCTCTCTCTTCCTCCTTCCTCCTTCCTCCCTCCCCTCCCCGGACGGCTGCGACGGCCGGCGGCATGGCGACGAGCTGCGATGGCGCAGCCTCCTCCCTCCTCCTTCCTCCCTCTTCTCCCTCTCCCTCCCCCTCTAGCTTCTGTGAGAAGAGAGAGAAAACAAGAACGAAGAAGAAGAAAAGGAAAAAAAAAACAAAAAACCTCCAAAACGATGTCGTTTTGAGGGACTACCGGGTAAGGCTGCCGAGTAGGGCGGCCGAGGATCCGGATTCATCACCAGCACCCGCCAACTTCTGCTCTGCTGAATGGGCAGCCACTCACCAACTTCCCCGTTTAATGGGTTTGTTGACATGTTGACCCCTCACCCTTTATTTATTTATTTTGTCAATAGGAGTGTACGGACATTGTTAATTGGAGTGTGTGGACTCATTTGAAAAGATGGCTAAATTTTTTTTAGCCTATTTTGAATTAAATTTTTTATTTTTTACGGCTAAATTTTTTTTAGCCTATTTTGAATTAAATTTTTTATTTTTTAAAAAAATAAAAAATTAACTTTTAATTATCTTCTCAAATTAGTCTTTGACTTTAGATTTCTCTATATAAAAATAATTTTTTAATTATTATTAATTTTTATTGTTAGTAGTATTAATAGTGAATATTCACATAGATGATAATATAAAATTGCGACAAAAAATTAGTATAGTTATTTTGATTGTTTTATATTACTTGGATTTACCTTCATTAGAATTAATAATTATTTTTAATTAATAAATCAATCATAATTTTAATAATATAAAGGGATCATTAAAAAAAAAAGAAGGAATTAATTGCAAGTGAGAGGACATTTTCATAATTTTCAATGATTATTAATATATAGAAAAAGAGTGATAAATTAATATATAGAAAAAAGAGTGATAAAAAATCAGTAACAAATCCCCGCTTAGTTTGATTTTGAGAATTAATTTTAAAAGATAATTTTTTTAGAAGAATTGAAAAAATTTAAAAACTTATTTGGTGGTATACAGTGGCATAGTTAGGAATTTCACTCAGTGAGGTCACTCAGAGAGAGAGAACAAATGAAAGAATGTATCAATGGCAATGTAACAATGGTTGTTAGAGAATTAAGTGTTGATGGAGCGAATAAATGAACGAACACTGAGTTAAAATTGACACCACTAAACAATGAATAGTTCCAAATATATGTGATATTTATCTAGATTCACTGGGGTCATTTTGTTAAAATTGACACCACTAAATAATGAATAACTCCAAACACTTGGGTCATTTTGTTAAAATCCAAAACTATTGATAAAATTCCATATATATTTGAACAAAATTTGAAAGTTCAATGGTGTCAATTGACACCACTAAACTATACATAGCCCCGCCCTTGGTGGTATATTTTGAAAATAATTTTGAAATGATTTGTAATTTTTTTTGTAATTAAATAAATAGATGTGAGAGAAAAATTAATTAATTAATGTTTAAGATGCGAGAGAAAAATAGAGGAGAGAGAAAATAATTTAATAAAATTATAAACCAAACATTTTTTTTTTTGAAATTTCATTTAAAAAATTGATTCGAAAATACAACCAAACACAACAATTTTTTTTCATAATATATAATTTTTTTTTTCTTTTCATTAAAATGTTTTTGTCTGTTTATATATGCACACCAACCATGATGTAAAAGAACCCAACATAGCTAGCGCGCGCACACCAGCACAGAGAAGGTTTTCTCTGGTTCACGGTGTTGGGTTGTTGTAGACATGGCTTCAAGGTTGTGGGCTTCAAGGGCTGCTTCATACCTCAGGATCTCTGCCTTCAACAGAGGATTTGCTTCTGGTAAATCTAACCTTCAACTTTACCTCCCCACTCTTACCTTAGCTTTCTTGATTTGTTGTTTTTCATTTTTATAAAATATCATTATTGTGTTTGATATAATGCTTGATCTGCAATTCTATCAGGTAAAGATCTATTTTTTGGAAATGGGTTGTGTTTATATTTGTTATTGGTTGGGTATGATTCAAGTTTTGGATTTGATCAATGAAGAATATAACTGATTGTTCAAACTTCATTTGCCTTGTTGGCTGAAAGTTTCTGATCTTTGTCTAATTTGATATTTGATGTTTCTTGATATCTATTTTTTTGGGTGCTTTGATGTAAAATTATGGGGTAATAATGTACAGATCGTTTGGATGATTTGAGAAGAACGAAAAGAAAAGAAATGCATCTCTCTTTATTCATATCACCTGTTTGGATTAGTATAATAAAGGAGAGAAAGAGGATGAAACGGGAAGAAATAGAGAGGAACTCATTTCAACCTTTTATTTTGAATCTCTCCAAAAGTGGAGAGATTGGGAGAGAAAAGACTAACAAATAACTAATTTTCAAATATCAAAAAATTTCATTCAGATATAAAAGAAATATAAAAAAAAAAAACTAATACATAAAAAGGTTGTTTTGGTAATATAATGTGAAATAATTTATTTTCTTTTATACAGTTTAAACAAACAAGATAGGGGATAAATCATTATCTTCTCTATTCTTTTCTCTCCTATTTATCCAAGCAAGAGAGAAAGAAAAGACAGTCTTTTCTTTTCCTTTTCTCTCCTAATTTATGTAATCATTTATTTTCTTTTCTTTCTCGCCTTGGTTCCCAATACTTGTAATTCTGGATTGGGTTGTTGTTTCGATTTCCATATATTTATTTTATTACTACTGATACTACTTTGCATAGATGTAAAACTGTAGTACAAGTACTTGTAGGATGAGTCTTGCTAAGGCAGGTCTCAAGAGGGAGATGTATGCAGTCTTAACCCCCATTTATGGAGAAGTGGTTTTTTTTGTTTACTATGACACCATATTAGTTAGTCACTTTGACTCGTATGCTTAAGGGATTGCAGGCCTTTTGAATTAGCTATATGTAAAAAAAAAATGGAACATTTTTACAAATGCCTAAAATGAGTTGGACTAATGTTAAAGAAATGAAGTATGTACAAAACCAAACAATACTTTGTCATTTTTATGATGTGATCTGATTATGGACTTCTAAAATAAAATTCTGGGACTATTTTTTGGCCAAAACAATTTTATTTAATACATAAACCTTGGGCTAAGGTATTACTTCCTTTTTCTTTCTTTCTTTCTTTCATTCACTTTTTTGGTTTATACTTTAATTTTTTGTAGGTGGCCTAAGCTACATTTTTTTCCTTCTCTCTCCTAGTGTATGGATTCTCCTTTCTTTTCTTTTTTTGGTTTACCGATTGGCAAAGTTTTGTCTTTACGTGGATTGCTTTTGGAGTGATTGTTACTCTATCATGAAGGTTGGGTACGAGACCATACATATTTGCATAAATTTTATATTTCATGAAGGGCTGGGTTTTGGAGAATTGTGATTGTGATTGTGTTTGTGTGGTTTTGCTTAGTATTAGAAATAAGAGTAGAAGTCTGGTAGCACATATATATAATATACTAGTGATTATCTTTGTGTGCTTTTGCTTAGCCCTTTTGTGGCTAAAAATGTTCCCTACTTCTCTTTCTCCCCTACTCCTTTGCGCAGAACATCGAAGACACTTTTTTTGGGTTATTGTTCACAGCCTCAGCAAAATCCTGATTTTGGTCCGCAAACTCTATGTAGTTGAGCTCAAACCAAGTGCAAACTCTGTTGTGTCATATTGTTCTCAGTCTACTTTTGATCATTATTGTGCCATGTTATGGTTGTCTGGAGCTATAACTAAGGGGTTTTCTATTTTTGGGAAACGTTCACAGGGGCTATGTTTTGATTCCCCCACAATTATTGCAATTGTTGTTTTCTCTCATTGTATTTGTAAGTTTGATGATTTTGTGTGTTTGATATATCAACAAATTTGCCTCATAGCATTTTTTTGGTACTGTTTTCAGTCGTGAAGAACATGAAATATGCAGACTCTCATGAATGGTTGAAAGTTGAGGGTGACTCTGCAGTTGTAGGCATAACCGACCATGCTCAGGATCACTTGGGCGATGTTGTGTATGTTGAATTACCAGAAGTTGGGACTGCTGTAGCAAAGGGTAGCAGCTTTGGTGCAGTTGAAAGTGTAAAGGCCACTAGTGATATTTACTCTCCTGTTTCAGGGAAAGTGGTTGAAGTCAACAAGGAGCTCAATAACTCCCCTGGTTTGGTGAGTCCTATAACACTACATTGTTTGCTTGTGAAAATGTTTGATACAAAGATTGAAATTGACCGTAATTTTTGAGCTTGAGTTGGTTCCTGGTAACCAAACGTGTTATTTTATTTATGAGTTTTGCAGAGTTTTGCTATCCTTTGTCTATGACCCCTACCTAAAAAGGAAAAAGTTCGGAGAAAGAAAAATTTAGATGCAGCTTTGATCATATGTGTCGGGTTCCTGTTGTTGGCTTTTGAATCTTTCAACTTCACAATTCTTTGACTTGTGCATCCCACTCATAAGTCTTGAGAAAAGTGTGCTATTAACAGATCCAGTAGAGGCCTACAGACTCTCTCTCTCTCTCTCTCATTTGTGTTCTTCTTTGTCTGTAACTTCGTTCCATCTCTAAATACCTCTTTTTGCCCCTTGTTTGGTGGATATAATAATTCCCAAACGAGCCTATTGGGAAATTGTACACATGACACCTTTGACTTTCTTTATGTACCATATTCGAGATTTCTTTTGTATTTATGTTCAATTGCATTTTCATGCCAATATAAGATGTGAACATGAGGTTGAAGGCAATTCTGTATTTTTGTTCAAAACACCAGTGCCAATATGGAATATAGTCTAGAGTAAATAATTATAGTAGAAGCAAGACTCTGATAAAATGTAGTTTGTTGAGCTTATGTGGTGTGTTGTAATCCTTCAACTTACGTCATAGTTCTCTATTTCTGTTGAATGGTTTGGACTGCTTTGCCCAAGTTATAATCACCAGTGTAAGACGAGCATTCCTTGTTGCTTTTTTTTTTTTTTTAATCCTAGTTGTGCATTTCTTCTCACTTGTATTTAGGCATTAATATTCATTTTCTTGATTTAGGTTAATGCAAGTCCATACGAAAATGGATGGATTATAAAGGTAGAGATGAGCAGCACTGATGAATTGAAATCCTTAATGGACTCCGATCAGTATTCCAAATTCTGTGAAGAAGAAGATGCGAAGCATTGAGTCAACCCTCACAATAATGCAGTTGTCCTATGCTGAAAGGGCTTGTTTTGCACATTTCGGGGTTATGCTAAAATTCATAAAGTAGGAGAGAAAGCATTTGTGTTTTCTGGTTTTCTTTGTTCAACCATGTGTTGCCACTGTACTTTTTTTTAAAAATTTATTTATAAACTTCCCTTCTTATGAGCAAATATTAGTTCTTTGATGTGAAAGTTATCTAGATTAAGAATTTTTTTTTTTTGTTTTACATTTGAATTAACCATTATACCAACAAATTTAGAATTAGAGTAATATTCTACTTGAATGGAAACAAAGTTGCATAAAACTTGAAAGACTAGTGGTATCACACATTTTGTCTACGAATTGGATGTGGTAGTGTAAAAAAAATTCAAGAATGACTTGAGGTTCTGTATGTGGTCATTTTGAATAATTGTGTTTAGCTTTTATATGATGAACAAAGAAAGTATTGCTGTCATTATTGCATAAAAGGAAATAGTTTGTAGAGTCGTAGCAGTATATGCAGTGTGTTTCTTAAGTTTGTGATATACAAATAAATATGCAGTGTATTGTAGTATGACCCATATATATACATCATATTATTCTTACAGTTGCAACAGAGCATCCTCTGGGTAACCATGGAGAATATAGCCAGTGCTAAGCAAATCTTAGCATAGTTTTTTGGCCTACAAATAACAGAGAGCAATGCCCTACTAGGGAAGGTTGGACAACGACACATTGAACTCTTAGAGAATAAGGGCTCAGCGACACCCGAATGTACAGCCCCAATATAGTTTAGCATTGACCTGTTCTTGTATTCTTGATAATCACTTCAGCATCCGACTCAATAATTACTTGTGAAAAATTCCATTCCAGGACAGAATCAAACTGCAATCCTTGAGCTTGTTATACCATTGATGAACCTGAGTTTAAGATCCATAACAGCACGTATATATGATCTCGAATCACAACACCAGTCCCGATTACCCTTTTGCATTGATCAAGGGTGGCATCCACATCAGTCTTCATAACACTGCTAGGGTGTCGCTGCCATGAAAGAGCTGACACGAGAAGGAAAACTGCCCAAACCGACACCCATAAGATTCTTGATTAGTTCAAAACAATCTGCAGGGGCAATCCTATGAACATCTACATTCCAGTGTTCGTGGTTGAACACCCCAGTGATTTCAAGAGCAACATTAAATACTGGACATGTAAATTACACTAACCTTTCTTGAAGTATAGAAGAATTAGAGTACCAACAAGGGATTAGTTTAGTGGATAAGACTTTGGAATCCTGGCTCAAGGCTTGGGTTCGAGTTTCTATAACCCCTTGTTGGGATTAAGTTCTTGTTTGACAAGTAGTTATTTTAGCAAAAAAGTTAAAAAGTCGCTAAAAAAATAAAAAAGCTAACAACTCATGCCAAAAAGTCAAAGATTTTTTTTTCTCTTCATTTTTTGCACATCTTTTTGTAAAAAGCCAAAAAGTCATCCCAAACATAATACTTTTTTTTACATCACATTTTAACCAAAAAGTTATTAAAAAAGCATGTTCCCAAACGAGGCCTAAATTTACTCTTCAGCCTGGAGCACGCAGAGGGCTTAAGCTTTGGCCCGGACATAGGTGTGGTGGGGTTCTCTGTAGAGATGCTGTGAAGGGCAATACTTCTTGACGGATATATTAGAATCGCCTATCTACATATATGTTTTATGTACCAAAAAAAAGAGAAAGAAATATAGTAAATTTTAAGGAAATTAACAATTCAGTGTACATTTGTAAACAAAATTCAAATTAGTGATAAATTTTACAAATTTTAATAACAAAAATCATATACTTTTTCATGTGTTATTAATTATTTTGAGAAGAAAATATATATTCGTAAATTCTTTTAAATTTTATAATTTTAGTATAATTACAATGATATTTTTTGTTAGTAAAGTTAAATAGGTCGGAATTAATATAAAAGACGTGAAAATATAAATTTATGTAACTAAAAAATTACTTATAAAACAGAATTAAATGTCATGTAAAATAAATCGGCAGCTCAATACAATTATGGCAATTTACCCAAAAAAAATGCAGTCTTGAATCGATAGACTCGTCCGGTTCGTTAGCCGGCTTAAAACCCTTGAAAAACCCTTGCGAATGTCTTGTTCTGATACATGGTTCCATAGCTCATAATCTTCTTCAGACTTGTTTACTATTTTCAAATGTCAATTTCTCTTTCTTCCCAATTGTTCTTCCCTCAACAAGCTTCTTCATTGGTAAGTCATCATCACTACAATCTCTCTCTCTCCAACTGTGTGTGATATTATTGAATTATGACTTTACATGTTTTGTTTCAGAAACAACTGGGAAAGCAAAGGGTTTCTGGGTTATGGAGAAACACACAGATTGTGAAGAAATTTGTGGTGAGAGCAGGGCCAAAGAGGATGTCTTTTGACAAAGAATGCAGAGAGGCTTTACTTGCTGGGATTGACAAGCTTGCTGATGCTGTTTCTGTTACCTTAGGTCCTAAAGGTATCTGGGTTCTCTCTCTCTCTCTAAACTTAAATGCTTGTAGTCTCTATATCAGGATTGACTTTGATGGGTTCATTTTTTTTTTCATAGCATGACAGAATTAAGCCCAATTTAGGTTTAATAAGTTCTGGGTAGCTTTGATTCTCATAAAAATTACATTCTTTCAGGAGCTTAATGCATCTAGGTCTTCTTGGTTTACGCTTACCATTACTGTTTATTTTTCAGTGTATTTTGGGGGGAATTTTTTTGAAGCTTATGATGTGCTTTTATGGTTTTTCTAAATTTGATCATATCTTAGCTTGCAATCCATGTAAGCACTTTGCTTAAGCCATTGAATTGGTTTCATCATTCATGAATAAGCACATCTTGCACTATGGACCTAGGCCATTGTCTTGTTTTAGAGGAAAGATGAGTCAATAAATTCTACAATTAATTGTTTTGACCATCCATCTAAAATAATTTCAATTTTTTTTTTTATTAACTGTTTTTATGCTAATGTAAGCAGTGTTTCCACCATTGTTTACAACTCAGAACCTTAGTTTGAAAAGGAGCTTTATATTTTGGAAACTCTAAATACAAAAACAGTTTTTCCAGTTGAAAAACCTTACTTGAAAGAAGAATGAAGTCGGTTTTAGTAATTTCACTTCTCTTGCTATGGACCTCTTCATAGGTCAGGACCTTCTGGCATGGGAGTAGTGTGCACCTCATCCTTTGAAACACAGACCCATAGGGTTTCATTGGTACCAAAACCCCTTAACTTTTTCACACTAGAAAAGTAAGATTGATTGACCTAATATCAGATCCTGCTATTAATAAAAATGCAAGATGATTTCTTTTTGGATTTTGGTGTAGCATTGTTTGTAAATATGATTATTCTGGTTATTCAAATGAGTTAGCCAGCTTTAATTTCAATAATGCAGGGCGCAACGTTGTGCTTTCAGAATCTGGGACGCTAAAAGTTATCAATGATGGTGTTACAATTGCTCGGGCCATAGAGCTCGCAGATGCAATTGAAAATGCAGGAGCAGTGCTAATCCAAGAGGTCATATATGCTAGATGGACAGTTCTCTGTGTTCAGCATTCACTACTCCGCACCAAACTCTACATGGTTATAAATTATGTATTTTTTGTGGCACATTCACAGGTTGCTACCAAGACAAATGATTTAGTTGGTGATGGTACTACGACTGCAATCATATTGGCTCGAGAGATGATCAAATCTGGGTTGCTAGCTGTTTCTTTTGGTGCTAACCCCGTTTCTTTGAAGAAAGGAATGGACAAGACTGTAAAAGAATTAGTCAATGTTCTAAGGAATAAAAGTTGTCCTGTAAAAGGGAGGGATGATATAAAAGGTCATTTATTCTTCTTCTTCTTCTTCTTCTTTTTTGTTTAAATTTTTTTAATTTATTTTTTAATTAAGAGAAAATCTTCAAACTATCTTCTCTTTTCTGCAGCCATAGCTTCAATATCTGCTGGAAATGATGATTTCATTGGGAACTTAATTGCTGAAGCTATAGATAAGATTGGTCCTGACGGAGTAGTCTCTATTGCATCTTCCTCATCGTCCGAAACCTCTGTGATGGTTGAAGAAGGAATGAAGGTAATTCATATGATCATTGTTAAGGGAGCTCCTGAAAATCTTTGAATATTCAGATCAGAATTGTGATCCATTGAACTGTTAAATTTCAGTCTGACATATCAATACACATTATGAGCAAAATGTGATATAATCTTGAAATATTAAAAAGCTGAAAAATGAATTCACTGCAGAAATTGAGTTTATGGCATTTGGGATTTGTAATGACTTGAGATTGAGAAACTATGTTGAGCTCTTTTTGATTTTGTCAAAAACTAAGATCTTTGTAATGGGTTGCCAACATGCAGTATCTATGAAGGACTCTTGAATTGATGTCATAGCCAAGAATTGAATGATCTTCCAAGTTCCTTCCATTCATTTTAGTTTTTTTGACCGATATTCATTATACTTTTCTAAACACCCAAACAATGTGGTCTGTTAATTGAATGGATAAAATACTACCAATTGCAAATCTATGGATGAATCGCACTGATGTGCACTTGGTTTGACTACTTTTTAGTAGTCTATTCTTATTATTTTCCTGGTTTTTCGTTTTATTTCCTTGTATGTGGAATTAGATGTTTCTTTTTTATATATATTTTTAATTTCTATTCAGGCATTCTTTCCCTACAGATTGACAAGGGATACATGTCACCCCAGTTCATAACCAACCAGGACAAATCAATAGTGGAGTTTGAAAATGCAAAAGTCCTGGTGACTGATCAAAAGATATCAAATGTTAAAGAGATTGTTCCTTTACTAGAAAAGACTACCCAATTAAGTGTCCCACTGCTAATAATTGCCGAGGACATCTCAAGGCAAGTACTGGAAACACTTATTGTGAACAAAATGCGAGGCATGCTTAATGTTGCTGTCGTGAAGTGTCCAGGATTTGGAGAAGGAAAGAAAGCCCTGTTGCAAGATATTGCCCTTATGACAGGTGAACTTATGTGCTTTCTAATCTTAAACAAGATGTTTCAGCCTTGGGATTATCTCATCCATGTAAAATATGCGTGGAAGATTAAAATTGACTTCAGAGGTTGTGTTGGTTATAAACTTGTTAGTGCAGAAATACAATAAAAGAAAAAGAAAAAAGAGAAAGACTATTCAATGCGACATGTTTCATTTGTCAATACTCATATATGTCAGGGCAAAGATATTGTGAAGGCAGTTAAGCACAAATTGTTGACATGATTTTCTCAGCACATAAATCAGCTTTCCTAATTCATTATGCAGCCAAAATTGTCCAGTTTAATAGTTGTCTAGCACACGTAGATGGGCAACTATCAGCATTCCATGCAATTTTGAACTGGGCCATCAGTCAAGCATTTATGCTTGTAAAAATAAAACTTGAATTTGGCATTGAACATAAATATACTGTCAAAATTGGTCAAAATTCAAGATGGATTTCTATTTGAAATGAAGCTTCAGATATTACTCCTTATGAAGGTATGCTTCAACCGGATAATTTTTATTTATTTTTTACCTTTCATGTCAAGTGCAAAATTTGGTTCGGTATGTGTTCTTCTGCGTTTTTAAGTGGGCAATATGTGAACCTGTGAATGGTTGCAGCAGTATCTCAAAGGTCTTTATAAGATAACCCATTTTCTGTCAAATATTTTGCATATAGGAGCAACACTGAGTGTCAAGATTCGGTGTTTCATTTGTTACATTAGTGCAATAAATTCTTTATTCCCATCTGCAATGCTTACACTTTCTTGTTGATGTCTTTTTATTGTATCAGGTGCTGATTTTCTCTCTGGAGATTTGGGCCTGACCCTTGAAGGTGCAACCTCAGATCAGCTTGGTATTGCACGAAAAGTAACCATAACAAGTAATTCAACAACTATTGTTGCTGACCCTTCTACCAAAGCTGAAATTCGGGCAAGAATTTCACAGATAAAGAAAGATCTAGCCGAAACAGATAGTGCATCTCTGTCTCGAAAGCTCTCTGAAAGAATTGCGAAACTCTCTGGAGGTGTAGCTGTAATTAAGGTCTGCAACACTTAATATCGAACATTAAAAAGATTTTCTCCCTGCTTGATGGTGATTTGGATTCCAACCTTTAGTTGGCATAGTGGAAGTTGGCTTTAAAAATATTTTATCTTTGGCGTTGCCATCTCCACTTAGAATCTGGAATTATTATTATTTGTTAAAACCTATCACCTACTACTTCACCCACTTAAACCTACTCCACTAAACCTAACCCACTACACCACTACCACCTCACCTACTCCACTAAACCTAACCCACTACACCACTACCACCTCCACTTCACCTACTCCTTACCTACTACACACTCACCCTCTTCTATATATAGGAATCATGAATCATTGTAAATAAATCAACAAATAAATCAATAATACAATTCTCTATTTCTCTTTATACATTAAATTTCTACATTATTTTTTTTCTTTCTGAAAATAAAAGGAAAAAGAAACTGAGTGTGTTGTTGGAGTGCTAGTTTTTACATAGATTTGGCCAAAATTTGAAAGTCCCATTTTTTAGAAATGTTGAAAATTAATACCTTATAATTGAATGGCTTAAAATGTCAATGTACCCTCTCTTGTAATCAAGTTAAGGTTAATGCATCACTTTCAAATGTAATACTGAAATTTGATGTTAAAGAATGGATGGTGTAAGAGGTGCCTGCAAAAGTGATCCACAGAAGAAAGTCAAGTTGTCCATTATATTTTCTTAACTTCATGGCAATAAAAATTAAAGGAAAGAAGCAACTTGAATCTAACTTTTAGAATCTTATTACTTTCAGTAATCTCTTTCTTTCTCTCTCTCTCTCTCTCTCTTTCTCTAATAAAGTCAACTCTACTTAGCAATGTGTATGGATTTAGGTAGGGGCACACACAGAGATGGAACTTGAAGATCGGAAGCTAAGAATTGAGGATGCGAAAAATGCCACATTTGCTGCCATGGATGAAGGTATAGTACCAGGTGGTGGGGCAACATATGTACATCTATCAGAACAAATTTCCATTATAAAGAACTTCTTGGAAGATCCAGATGAGCAGATTGGTGCTGACATTGTCGGGATGGTATGCTGTCACTTCCCTTTCTTTTTCCTGGCATATCTTTTGCTGACTTTTTATGTCTGCACAATTCAACGAAGGTAAAACAAACTAATTGGAGTTGGATGCACTTCGTTGACAAACTTACTTTCTCTCTCACAGCCCATCTTGGGTCATATTTTCTTGGAATCACAAGCCAACATTGTCTAATAGCCATGGCTATTTGGCTTCTCATCTTCTCTGGGACCTTCAACTTGTAGCACCATCATTTTGGCAACAAGAACAGTTGAATCGCTGATGTAAAGGTTGAGAGACCAAAAGGGTACTACTACCTGGCTGACATGGCCAATGAAACAATAATTTTTTGCAATGATTTAAAGGCAACAAACATATCATTCAATATTGTGATAGCATGAGTCTCATCTCATCCCACATTTAACGATGCAAATGTGTTATTTGAGAGTAGAACTGATGTTCCTAATAGTTTGTCAAATCATTGGGGTCCAGTCTATTGGGATATTGTTGACAACTTTGAATGCTTGAGTTTGATAGTAATCTGTTAAAAGTTTTTGAGAAATTTCCTTGTTGAATGCATATATTAGCCACACATAAATTTGTTTGATGATGAATTTCAGGCACTGCTTGCTCCTGCAAAATTGATTGCAAGTAATGCAGGAGTTGATGGAGCAGTAGTTGTGGAGAAGATTCGGGCTTGTGACTGGCAAGTTGGATACAATGCAATGACGGGCAGATATGAAGACCTCGTCGCTGTTGGCGTGGTTGATCCTTGTCAGGTTTCAAGGTGTGCTCTTCAGAATGCAGTCTCTGTTGCCGGTGTGGTCCTAACAACTCAAGCCATATTGGTGGAGAAAACACGCAAGCCCAAGCCGCCTGTTCCCATTGTTCCTGGAATAACTCCTTAAAAAAGCGGTAAAATGAGGAAAATCCAAAGCTTTTGATGAGAGATGAGAACGAAGCTAACTGACTTGTGTTTTTGATGGTTCAAGTCAAAACTTCATCCTGAATTGGGTTGGTGTGCACCTAGAATTGGAGGTGGCAAAGATTACACTCTTCTACGTGCATAGAATCAAATCACAAAATCAGACATATCCTAGTGTGATTGAATTAAGTGCACTTAGAAATTTTCGAGGTTACTACCAAGCTAGGGAACTCGGCTTTTTATTTGGATTACTGGAGCATGAAATGCCTTCTCAGAAGCATGAGTAATGTATTCCTGTTGTTGTTGTCAACTTCTATGTTGTTTCAATGGATGTGAAAAAAATTTCTATTTCCCTGAGCATCAGGGAATTTTTCAAGATGTTCTTTTGCTTCATTATTATTAAACAAGTACAAATTTGTGAAGGCAGTTGTTAGAATGTGTCTGGTTTTGTAGCCATTTGGAAAAAGCCTATACAGGTCTTATACATTAGTTTAAAAATATGTACTAGGGCCTTTGGTGTACCACCATGTTTATAAGTTATAAAGTAAAATAGCTTTAAGTTTATAAATAAATAAATAAATAAAACAGAACAAAACAAAGAACTAATTATTTAAGAGTTGGGATAGTCATCAAACATTTCCATAGCATTGCAAGATTGTAGGATACAATCACTCTGTTTGGTTTCTATTTTTAGAATTTATTTTTTAGAAAATTTTACTTTTTCATTTTCTGTATTTTTTGTTTTCACTGAATTTTTTTAATTTTTAAACACACCTAATATAAATACACTTAAAAAGTATAATATTTGTAAAAAAAAATATTTTAAAAATTCACTAAATATTAAAAATATAAAAAAATATAAAAATTTAGTATATTTTTCATATTTTTGTGTATTTATTAATTTTTTAAAATATTTTTTTTAATAAATATTTTACTAAATAAGGTGCATTAAAAAAAAATTTGTTTAAAATTTTAAAAATATTCACTAAAAATAAAAAACACGAAAAATAAAAAATTCAATTTATAAAAAGTTGAAATTTTTTTATTTTAATTTTTATATGAACTCTTAGCACATCTATGGAAGGTACTACCTGCCTCAGCTGGGATGTACTCCAACTCCAACTAGCTCTGCTGAATTATAAAATAAGAAAAGTCTATTTTATGTGATTATTGTATTCAAATTAGGTGGTCATGATATATGTATGTATACACACAGAGATGTTTAGTACTATTATAAATATATAAAATAAAAAAAGAAAAAGAAAAATGAGAGAGAGAGATGTTTAGTACATCAGGTATGCAAAATAGTTGCTGATGCAATGATGTTGGCTTGATTTCAAAGCCAAGTATGTTCTCCACAATCTATTGGGTGGAGGAGCTTCCTTAAAATTCAGTCCTAAAATACCCACTAACATTAACTCAGTCACTTCACCCTCCCAAAAAAATAATGTCAATGATGTTAAAATATAATTACATGCACTTAAAAAAAAATACTAATACTAAAAGACAAAATTAAAACATAAACTGAATTACATAAAATGTAATGATAGGTTGAGATTTATTTTAAAAGTCAGCCCTCTATAGTTGGGTTTAATTCTTGCATTTTGTTTGGCCTATCACAAGTTTAAATTGATCTTTCTTTAATAGTTGACAAGCTTTACTTATATCTAATTCCATAGAATTGGGCCACGGCCGCTTGGAATCAAAAGACTTTCGAGCTTGTTGAATGTCCTTGTGGCTCTGGATCCCTCCAATCCAACCGATTCCGAATCATCAATTCCAAAATCTTTTACAATGAACGCTTGTCATTGAATTATTCAAGCATAGGGCATATCGATTTGGAATGGAACTGTAATTTTAGCATTGCTGCAAAAAATATTAGCACTCTGCTGGTATCATGTGTTCCACTAATACTCTTTGGATGCAATCAAGTGCTTTGATACTACCATAATTATAATGTTGATAAACTTTGATTGCATAATTAATTAAATTTTGGATTAATTACATAAAAAAAACTTAGGGTTTCAAGTCTTTTTCATTTTAAACCCCAAGTTTTTATTTTCGACAAAATTAAACCTCATCCTTCCACCCATATTTCAATCTGACCCTCCCGTCTATTTCCTTCATATTGATCTAACGAAAATCTAGACAAAATTTCATATTCAAACCCACATGTTTAAGCATTTGTATCTCCCTCGTCGTAACTTTGTTTTGCCTCATTTTCGAGCTGTTGAATTTACCTCATGGCCTAGTTTTCATTCCATTCCGCATACGCCTTACTCAACCTTTTTTTGCGTGCTGCTCAAAAATTGGTTAAAAATAAAAATTTTCTCTCTTTAGACAAAATTTTAAGATTCAAACCCACATAATAAAGCACTTGTATCTCTCTTAACTCTGTTTCATCTTATTTTCATTTCGTTGGATTCATCTCATTTTCATTTCGTTGGATTCATCTCATAACCTAGTTTTCATTCCACATCCCATACATCTTGTTTCATCTCTTTTTATGTGCCATCAGAGCTTTGAAAATTGGCTAGACCAAGATTTTTTTTCTCTCTCTCTCTCTCTCTTCTTTCTCTCTTTATCTTCTGAGCAAGGATCCTCTAGAGTGATTTTTCCCTAAAATTTCCTAAAGTGCTACAGTGTATGGTTGAGATTTACTGGCAAGTCACATCAATTTTTCTGATGTGACTTGCCAGTAAATCTCAACCACACAATATATTTTCATTTCGTTGGATTCATCTCATAACCTAGTTTTCATTCCACATCTCATACACCTTGTTTCACCTCTTTTTATGTGCCATCAGAGCTTTGAAAATTGGCTAGACCAAGATTTTTTTTTTCTCTCTCTCTCTCTTCTTTCTCTCTTTATCTTCTATCTCCATGCTTCTTTGTTCCTTATTCATTTCCACAATTATTTTCTCTTTTTCTCTTCATCCATGGCCCTTCCACTGAGCTCATGGTAGCCACCAAACCTCCAACGGTGGTGGTGCCGTCGAGTATGGAGGTATATGATTTACAAGAAATGAAAGAAAAGTAATGGTGGGGGAAAGGCCATGAAAGAAGAGAAAAATAGAGAATAGTTGTAGAAAGAAAGGAAGAAGCATTGAGATAGAAGATAGAGGGGAAAAAAGTAGAGAAAAACTATTTTTAGCCAACTTTTGGAGCTCCGAGGGCATACAAAAAGAGGTGGAACAAATGAAAATTAGGTCATGAGATGAAACGACGCGAAAAGAAATTACGATGAGGCAAATACAAATACTTGAAAATGTAGGTTTGAATCTGAAAATTTTACTCAAATAGAAAAATTATTTTTGGTCAACTTTCAAAGTTCTGACAGCATGCAAAAAGATGTGAAACAAGACACATGAGGGATGGAATGAAAGTTAGGCCATGAGGTGAATTCAATGTCGCGAAAATGAAGCGAAACAGAATTACGACAAGAGAGATACAAATACTTGAACACATGGGTTTGAATTTGAAATTTTGCCCAAATTTCTATTACTTCAATATGACAAAGATGGACAGGGGCAGATTGAAACATGGGTTGAAGGATAGGGTTTAATTTGTCGAAATTGAAAAGTTGAGGTTTAAAATGAAAAAGGCGCAAAATCCTAAGGATTTTTTTGTAATTAACTCTTACATTTTTTTAAAGAAAAAACAGAACCTGTGGTAATTGTTTTTAATAATATGATTTTAAGAAAAAAAATTAAAAAGCTATAAAACAGCAATTTGTGTTTTCAAAACAATGACCTTTTTAAAATAATGGTTTAGTATACATATCATGAGTCATTTTTTAAAGTTCATTATTTTCCAAACTTCTTCCCATGGGACCATGTTTTTGGTATTGATGTTATTAGTAATAGAACACGAAAATTCTAACCACCCCATCCCTAGTCAATTACATTTTTTGACAGATCAAATAGTTTACGCCTACATAAAACAAAAACTCATGAGAGGAATTATACACTAGAGTTGGGTAGTCATTGGATTTGATTGTTTAGAGTCGAGTTTATGTGTAAATTATGAATTTGTGGCTCAGTAGTTTGTCCACCTCTAGTAAAACTTTAGGGTTTGACTGGATTTGCTCCCCAGTTTGAGTCCCAACATTTGTAACTCTCATGGCCAACGAAAGGTTCTCACCGCGCGTGAAAATTAATTGAGGTGTGCATTAAGCTGACCTGGACATGAGAAACCAAAAAGGTGATTTAGTCAAAACTCCCTCATAATAAAATTTTAATGCATTAAGGACAAATATAAAAAAGTTTTCCTTGAAAAGTCCAATAAATATCACTATTATCAAAATATTAAACTTTAAAATAATATAATTTTTTATGTAGATGTCGATTTTTAATAAAATTAATATTTTTAGAATTTTCTCATCAAGATCTATCAAATAAGATCCATGTTGACTATAAAATTCTTTAAAAAACATAAATTATTACCATTGAAATTAATGTAAATAATAACAATAAATTATTTTGTTTGACAATAACATGTTACTCTGTTTGACAACTACTCTGTTTAACAATAATATGTTACTCTGTTTCATAGTAATATGTTACTCTGGCAATATTATACAAGAAAAAAATACATATTTTACTTTGTCCTTACTCAGTTATGTATTTTCTTTTTAGGAAGTTTATGAAGAAAAATAAATTGGGTTGTTATTTTCATCAAATAAGGGTCCAATCGAGAGATTTTGACTAAATTTTCCAAACTAACCCCCCCAAAAAATACATGTATTATTTGAAGTATATCAATTAGTTATTCTAAGGTTCACTTTAATATAATTTTTTTTAGGGGATTGTTTTTAAAGTTCCTGGTATTAAGATTTTATAGTATAAAGACATCTAATATTTGTATAATGTTTAAGGTCTCTCAAATCAATCCAGAGAATCTAGAGAATTTCTTTGAACTTCCCAGAGAAATTTTCTCCAAACCAGAAAAGTCTAAAAATTTTCTCTGGATTTCTAGAGAATTTCTCTAGTTTTTGCAAGAATATCTTTGGGTTCAAACCATAAAATTTCTCTACTTTTCCAATCACAATGTGCAATACACAAATCGATCGCCCAAATAAACAACAACAACCAATATACATCTATCCAAAGAATTTCTTTGGACTTTCCAAATAATCTCTTCAGATAAATTCTGGGAAGGCTAGAGAAATTCTCTAGGTTCTAGTTTAAAGATTTTTTTTGGATTGCCTTTCCAATCACGATATGCAATACACAAATTAATCACCAAAATAAGTAACAACAACAACCAATACACACACACACATATATATATATAGAGTGAGAGAGACTCACTGGATTGTATATTGAAGCCATTGAATTTGGCTCTTGTAGAGGCTAAATAGGCACCCAATGTCGTAGAACACAATCAAATCATTAAGTTGAAGCTCTGGCAGCTTACATTCTGTCGTCACTACATCCATTTCATCATAGGTTGGTCCAAATATCGTGGATGGCTATAGCATCCCACGTCCATCATCATCATTTTTCGACTGATCAGAAAGTAGTAGTGGCATGAATGCCATGGATGACCGGTCATGGGATGGGCTATCTCTAGAGTATATAATTTTCTTTGGAACCTCAACAATTTCAAAGTTTTCAGATTCTTCGCTCCAGCGATGAGCGGTCAAAAGCACTGTCCATTGTAGAGCTCTTTGAGGCATATGGTTTCCAAAAACGAAGTGGCGATGCTGGGGCCAATAGGCTCGACAGTGGCAACCACACCTCCACCGTTGTTGATGCCACGAAGGCGCTTGATGGAGAGCTCTTCGAGAGAGGAACAGTGATCGAACACTACATTCATGCCTTTGACTCCGAACTTGCAAGATCCACACAAGAACTTCTTCAAACCCTTATAGTTCTTAGCGAAAACGGCCATGCTGAGGTCGGTGAGCTCGCGGCAACCGGAGAGTTTGAGGCGCGTGGGGTTAATGCAACAGAGCGAGATGAGAATCAAGGCGTCGTCGTCTAGGTTGACGGATCGTCGGTTGCATCGGAGAGCGAGCTTCATGACAGCATCGAAGCTAGAAAAGAGAGAGAGAGGATGAAAGGGAGAGGGAAATAAGGTTTGATTTGAGGGAGTCAAATTTCTCTGTGATATATGAGTGTGGGGTTGAGGGATCTTAAACATCATAAAATAATATAATATTGTGGATCTTTTCCATTATTAAAAATAGGAGAGAGACCTTAGACTAATTTTTTTATTTTTTTTTTTAAAACCAAGATGGCCTACTTTATCCAACATATATATGAGGATTTTATCTTGAACTCGGAGTGTAATTAAATAATTTGGCATTTTTAAAAATTATATACCCAACTTTAATTGTAATAATTTTTGGTCCTAGAAAGGAACGCATATATATAATTTTTTATTTTAATTTATTATGTAATTAATTAATAAAATTTAAAATTAATACTTACAAATAAAGGATTAAATCAAGTCAAGCTAAAATGCTTCTTATTTGAGAATCTTAAATTTTAATTAAAAAGTCAAAATAATCATTATAATATTAACATATTTTTTCTATTTTTTTTTACATATCTAATAAATATTAAATTTTTTTTTTTCTAAATCAGCCCTGTGAGCCTAATTCAAAGAACGCATCAATTTAAATTTAAAATTTTATTTTATTTTATTTTATTTTATTTTGTAGGTGACACCGCGACATTATACTATAATCGTGGGTGCTTGTTTTCCTCACTTTTTGTGAGAGTTTCTCAGACAAAGGAAGAGAAACGAAAGCGAAAGAAAAAAAAGAAAGAAAGAAATAAATAATCGTCTTCTCCCCAAAAACTTATCAGAAAACCAGCTCTGTTAACTAATCCAACTCTCTCTCTCTCTATGCCTACAATTTCTCTCTCTAAAACTCTCTCTTCCCGTCTTTCAGAAGCTCAGATCTGAACTCTGACCCCTCGATTACTCGCATTTCAAGCTCCAATGGCGGCGAATAGTCTATTTTGTTTCTGAACTTTAATCGGTACTCTCTCTCTCTCTCTCTCTCTCTCTCTCTGGCTCTATTTCTTTCGAATTTTACTGCATGTATAACATTTGTAGAGGCAATGTAATTTGATAATCTGGATTCAGTTGAGCATTGTAGTACAACACTGAAGTTTCTCTAAAACTTTTGGAGTAATCTGTAATTCATAACTTTAAGAAGGTATAGAATGTGAATTATAATGTATGCTTTTGGTCTACTTGTTTTTGCTTGATCGAAAAAGCTGAATTGTGAAATGAACACAACTTATTGAGTTCTTGGATTTGTGATTTAATGGATTCAAGGTTTTGAAAGGCCCTATTCCTACCTGCAGAGATATTGAATGAGTTAATCATTGCAAATGGCAAAGTCTAGGCTAAATTTTTGGGGGTCTAAATTTTTGCAGAGTTGTTGGGTGGATTAAGTAATACAAATGGCAAAGTCTAGGCAAAATTATTCGGCTCAAGATGCGTTGTCATCATCGCCCATGGCAGGAAGATCGAGGGAATGGGAAGGTCCGGCGAGGTGGACTGAGTATCTGGGTCAAGATATGACCCCTCCAATGACATCTAGGGGTTCTAGGAATGCGGGGCCGGAAGGGACAGTCCAGACTAGTGGATTGCATAAGGGATTGAACATGCAGTGGGTGTATCAGCTTACTGAAGTTGCTGAAGGGTTAATGGCCAAAATGTACAGGCTGAATCAAATTTTGGACTATCCGGATTCTGTGGGTCATGTGTTTTCTGATGCATTTTGGAAGGCAGGCGTGTTCCCCAACCATCCAAAGATTTGTGTCCTGCTCTCAAAGAAGTTTCCAGAGCATCACAGCAAATTACAGCTCGAACGTGTAAGAATTGTGACTATTTTATTGAGTTTTTTTTTTCTTCTTGTTCATGGAAATGGCACTGAGTGCAATGGGAATATTGGTTTAGCTTGACAAGGTTGCGCTGGATGCTTTGTATGACAATGCAGAAGTTCATTTACAAAGCTTGGAACCATGGATTCAGGTACGTCCTTTTACAAATTCCTTTCCCAGCCATGAGCATGTTCAAATGTAAGAATGCTGAGGAAGTTCTATTTTACATTGGCGTATGATATGAAGCATATTTTTCTGTTTTTTTTTTGTTGGGTTAGAATTAAGGTTGGAGCCTGTTACTTTGAGAACCAATGCGTGGAAGCGCAAAAACCATTATGTTGGTATACTGAAATTGGCAAAAAAGACATTGTTTTCTGTATACTCTTCTTCAAATTCCATTTTACTACTTATTAGAGTTTTGAGAAAGCTCAAATGTTATGAATGAAGATGTGAGTGAATATATATGTTAGGAATTTATTAACTTTTCAAGGTAGTTGTTGTTCTTATACATTGTAGTAAGGAAAGGAAAGCACAAAGCCTCTAAGATGCTTTTATGATTGTGCAAAAAGAAAAGGCTCGAAAGTCATAACCAAATAATTGTCTAATTCATACTCAGGCATCACTTAGTTGGTCTTGCATGTGAATCAACTAATCAAGTTTCTATCTTGGACCGTTCAACATAAATGAGCACTATCCTTTTGTGATAAGTAAAATCTCACTAGAAAAGCTGCTAAAAAGAGGGTTGCAGATCCTGTACAGTCCACATTCCAGACAGCACCTGTGCCTGTATATATCTAAAAAGTCAAGAACTAAAAAAAGGGAAATGGAAAAGTCTCACTCGTCCCAAAAGAAAATTAACGGAAACAAGTGGAATTCCTTTAAAGCAATGAATAAGAAGCCGTACACCTCAAATGACCCTTCTATTTCTCTTCCTCCAATTTCTGCACATCACACATAAAGGATCTAACAATTCAACAACTGAATAAAAAAAAATGCTAAAGTCTCACTTGTCCAAAGGAAAATTAAAGGAAACAAGCAAATTCCTTTAAAGCAATGAATAAGAAGCCATACACCTCAAACGACCCTTCTATGTCTCTTCCTCCAATTCCTCCGCATCATGCATGAAGGAGTTGCCTCTCAGTACTGACAAAATGGGTACGGTTCGGGTTTCTTTAGCCTTGAGCACACTATGATGGTATTGTTTTTGGTTGTAGTAGCACTAGTACTCCTAAGAGACAAGAAAAGAAGGAAGTAGCATTTGAGTGGGCTTTATGATCATTATTTGTGTTGGGAGCGTGATTGACAGATTGCATTCTTTTTTTATCCATTTCTCCAATCTGGGCATTTAAACTACTTTGTTGTTGAAGTTGTTGGATATTTTGATGATGTTTTTATAAGTGACACTATCATTTTAATACAAATAAGATCTTTACATGTATCTGTAATTAACTTTATTTTCTCTGGATCAGCTGCTTCTTGACTTGATGGCATTTAGGGAACAAGCTTTGCGGCTCATATTGGATCTAAGCAGTACAGTAATTACGTTGTTGGTACGTATACTAACGTGCAAAAACTAGAATATGGATGTTTTCTAACATGAACATCAAGAAAGGTATTGAAGATTGGCCTGGTTTCTGTTGCCTTTTCATGGGATTTGAAATACCCTTTTTCTTTTTTGGTATTTGTGACATGTCTATGCTAATATTTGTCTGCTTGGCATATTGTTAAAACTTATCAATATGCAAGAAAGGCTAGAGTTGCTAAATTGTTATGTCAAAGAGTGACAACAAATGTTGTCTGTGTCTAGATGATGAAATCTCTGATGACTAGGTAAACTTCTTTTGCAGCCCCATCAAAATTCTCTTATTCTACATGCATTTATGGACCTTTTTTGTGCTTTCGTCCGAGTCAATCTTTTTGCTGAGAAGGTAAGCCCACAAATCATGCATTTCTTTTATGTTCTCCATTTTGTTAATGCTATTTAAATGAGAATTTTAGTTGGTTTATCCAACATATATATGAATAAAATTTTGTAAGTATGTTTTGCAAATGTGCTTTCATTTTTAATACAACATTTCTTGTTTGATTCTTTTATTGCAGTTACCAAGAAAAATGATGTTGCAAATGTACAACCTATTGCATGCCATGTTGCGTAATGATCGAGACTGTGATTTTTATCATCGGTAGGGAATTTTTTCATGGTTATCTTGGTTGTCCCGGCTAGATGGTCGACAAGTCTTCTTCACTTTTTTGGTTCTTTTGTTTTATTTAATGGTGATATGCACTATATGTTTTCGGACGAGAGATGTGAAGAATACTTATTTTATTTATCCACTTGAGCTGATGCATGAAAAAGTTGTGAATCCACTTCTTTTGCTTCTAACATTAGAAATTCTGAGTGTGTTTGTGAGTTCCCTTAATAAACATGATAAATTAGAAGTCGATGTGGCAGGTTATTCCCCCCCCCCCCAAATATTTCTTCTGTGTACTGTACTAATACAAAAGACTTCCATCTAGACAGTAGGTTTCTGTGTTCTGCTCTGGACATTGGGCAGGTTATACTAGAATATCATTCTCTAATTAAGCAGGACATATAGATCTCCTTTTCCCCGGTTGAGATAGCAGTTAGGGGATTATATTCTGATTCACATTAATTTAGAAGTGTTACGCAGCTTGCTTGTATATGAAACTTTATGTTTTGTGATTATTCTGTGGTTGAAGTGTCACTGGAAATTATTTGAGACAAATTTGATGCTAATGTTACCAAATAATTACATTCTAGTTGTGTCATCATAAGGGGGAAAAATATAATGCTAGGCTGGACCGGTTGTCTTTCCTTGTATTTAGTTGATGGTGTTATAGTCTAATACCAACATGACAGATGCCTACTGGTTTGCGCTCATATAATCATGCTCTTAAATTTTGCAATGAATTTAGTACTTTAAGAAAGGGAGATATTTCAAGGAATGAACAGAAGTCCAGGGTGTTGAGGTATTATTGAAATACTTAAATGCTTTTGCAAACTTGATACATATGATACATGTCTTGCATCACAAGTCAGTCATCTTATTTATATATTTATTTTTTGAAAAGTACTAATCAATCAGGTTAAATTTATAATTAAGTTACACTGTGGACCCAAATAAGTTCAGATAACATGGATATTAGGATTTTCCCCTGATATGCTATGAACGACATTGTTACATGTTGCAGCTGATATATTTCATTTTATTGAATTACAGGCTGGTTCAATTCATTGACTCTTATGATCCACCGTTGAAAGGATTACATGAAGACTTGAATTTTGTCAGCCCTCGTATTGGAGAGGTTATATGTCTTTCCTCTTTCTGAAATAATCTCATAAGAAATTCAATTTTCTTCTAATGAAAAAATTGGCTTGGTCTTTTGCTCAACTGTTGGATTCATAATATACAGATTTTCTTTCAGGATCTTTTCACTATGAGCTTTATTAGTAGTTTGGGGTTTTTTGTACTCTTTTGTTTAGTTTCTTTCCGATCATGGTACCTATTATTGTTTGCGGGTTACTGTTTGACTCTGTCTTAGTTAGAATGATTTGAATAAATTTGAACATATATACAGTTGCTGTGATAAAGGTGGAAGATCCCATGTCCTGGAATCATGTATGTGCCTGCAAGAAACAATGAAATGGACTTATTTACATATGTGACTATTATAGTTGCTTCTTGCTTGCCATTATTATCTTTTAGTTTTTAGTTTTTTCTTCCAAAAGCGTTAATTTCAACAGTTCTTCACAATTATCATTTTGATTAAACAGCCAATATGCTTTTCCAGGTTTTAGAGGCTGTGGGTCCTATAATATTTCTATCTACAGATACCAGGAAGCTGAGAAATGAGGGTTTTCTGAGTCCATTTCATCCTCGATATCCTGACATTCTTACAAATTCAGCACACCCAATGGTAAATATGTCATTTGCTTGATGCTGAAAAATGTTGGGATGTCCTTAGCTTATTGAAATCTCCTTGATATCTCTAGTACTGTTAACTAGGACTGTTCTGTCAAAGAAAAGGATTTTTGCTTATAGCCATACTGCAGTCTCATCACTCATCTCATCTTTACTTTTTTATTTTTCAAAATTTTTATTTTATTTTATGCAGAGAGCTCAAGACTTAGCAAATGTTACTTCTTATCGGGAATGGGTATTACTTGGGTATCTTGTTTGTCCTGACGAGCTTCTTAGAGTCACCAGCATCGACATTGCTTTGGTAAACTTGAGGCAGTTTTTTTTTTGTTTCTCTCTTGTTATTACTCGAAAGAGTTTATTTAAAGGGGAAATTACAATATAGATCCTAGGGTTTGACCCTTGTCACAAGTTAAACCCTAAGTTTTTAATTTTTTTAAAAGCAAACCTTGAATTTTTAAAAAAGTTGCAATCTTAATCCGTCTATCGCCATTAATTATTCATAACAGAAAAGTTTTCTGTTATGAATAATTATTCATAGCAAATGTTCCTTATTTTGTTTATGCTGTAGTTTTTTCCCCTTTGTTTTCCTTACACTTTTTTTGGGGTTGGTTTCAGGTTGTACTAAAGGAAAATTTAGTTCTTACATTGTTCAGAGATGAGGTGAATTCTACAAGTCACTTATTATAAACGTGGTATTTACTGAGTATTCACCCAAAAAAAAGAGAAGATATTTACTGACCTAGTTTGTCATTGCTACATATTAAATGTGCTTACCGAGCAGGTTAAATCATTGTTATATACTAAATGTGCAGTATGTACTATTGCATGAGGATTATCAATTATATGTGTTGCCACGGATATTGGAGTCAAAGAAGATGGCAAAATCTGGACGTACAAAGCAAAAAGAAGCAGATCTGGAGTACAGTGTTGCAAAGCAAGTTGAGAAGATGATAGGGTATAACTCAAACAATAGATGTTATATTTGAAAAGCATTGCACTTGGCATAAGATTTACAGGGCAATAAAGAAAATTACAATCTCTGAAGGGATTTAACAAATTTGGGGGATGTTTTCTTTCTCTTTTTTCCCAAATTGTTGTTTAAGTGCATTTTATATCATACATGCACCAAAGCTCCAGCATTTCCCTTATGTTCTAGGAATGCAGAGATTGCTGCTAACTATCATTTTGAACTAGTGCAAAATATTGGTAAGCACTCTTGGCTGCCACTATGCTTAGTAGTACCATTGCAATTGCTCATGAGCTGATCATAAGTTTGTGACACAATTGTTTAAAGTCAGCTAGTGAAAATATGTGTGGTTCTGACATTTTGATACATAATAGAATAGAAATTGGATAGTAAGGTCAAGTTAGATTCGATATTCCCGTCAATGTAAACTATAAACTCTGGACATCTTTGGCTAAACTGGACATTTCTCTCCATTGATTCAAAGCATTGAACTTCTGCTAAAACTTGATGAACTGTTTATTGCTTTAAACCCGCTATAACTTGTCCTATCATCTTTGAAATGGAGGCTTCATGGTTATGGGATTAATTAGTATTTGTTTGGTGGTAGGGGGCAATACCATATTGGGTTTTTCAAGGAGGTATGGGAGGCCTCTTTTGATGTATAGTAGTCATAGTACTGCTAGTGGAATTTTTTTTTTAGATAAATTTTTAGAGGTTAGGGTTGTGCATGTGTCAGTTTGGGCAGTTTTGGGGGAAATATATTCGGTGGAACTGCCCTTATCGGGTTAACTATTTATTTCTCCAGCCACCAAACTGCACAGCCTTGGAACTGGTGGGTCAACTGAGTATTCTAGCGGTTTCAAATCAGCAGGTTGGCAGGTTGTGGATTTCTTAAAAAAAACTAGCAAATTTAAGACACAGTAGGCCTGAAATAGATTGGGACCTGAGTTCCGAACTAACTAAATGGAGAAAAGAACATCCCCTGTGGTTCCTTTCCAATTTCCATGCTAAAAATTGTTTATAGTACACCAATATTTCATTAAATCAACATGCTAATGCTGAAATAGAGCACTGCCAAACACATTGTAGGGATAGCTGAAAATCCCCATGCCTTAGGGCACTGCTGAAGGTTTTAAATTGTATAACTACATCACTTATTCATACCAACCAACCAACCAAACCAAGTCTTAAGTCCTATTAATTGGGGTCGGCTATATGAATCTTTTTCCACTCGACTCTGTCAAAGGCCATTTGGGTAGTCAAATTAAGGAGATATCTATTTACTACACTAGCTCACGTCAAAAAGTGTTACTATCAATGATTCCATTTTTATGGATCATATCATCTGTATTCTCACCATAAGAAAATTTCTATAATTCTTGTTACAAAATTATATCAGATTAACTTCATTACATATTACCAATCTGCTTTGTTCCTTCTGATGCTTGTGGAACCATAGCTGTCAAATATTACATTGTTTAGTTTTTTTTGATAATTTCAGCGAAGTGCATGAACAAGCATTATTCTCTTGTGATGCCATACACCGAGAAAGGAGAATATTATTAAAGCAAGAGATTGGAAGAATGGTACTTTTTTTTACTGATCAGCCAAGTTTGTTGGCTCCTAACATTCAGGTATATTATATTTTAAAATCTTCAAGTATGCGATGCAATTTAATCATTTAAAAGATGCTTCTTCATTATAACTTTCTAGGGAACAAGAAGGTAGTTATTTTTTTGGAAGCTAAATTTTGTTACATTCTCCCTACCTTTTAAAATTTTTGTCCTTGAAATTTCATAAATGTTGATGTTTTAAATTAAGAGGTGAAATATACATTTTCGTTGCGCACTCTGATTATAAACCTACAAGACTCACGGGACCCGAACCTCAACTAAGTCAACTTTAGCTGTTACAGAAATTGTTAACCCAGTTCATCCATGAGTTTTATATGTTAAAGAGGGTTTAGTTTTTTTTTTCTTCCTAAAATAAAAAAAGGGTGGGAGGGGGGGCTAAGTTACACATGTTTGTGTAACTTAATTATTTGTAATCATCATCATGTATAATAAATAAAAAAAATTCATTAAATGTTGTACTGGGATGGGGCCTAAGTTACACATGTTTGTGCAACTTAATTATTTGTAATCATCAACATGTATAATAAATAAAAAAATTCATTAAATGTTGTACTAGTTTATGCTATGTTGTGCATTGTCATCAAATGATTTTTTTATGAAGCGTGTTCTTTGATAAGTAAAGAATTTATTATTTCATCTGCATTCAAAGAATACTTGGTTAGGTAATTGCATGCATAATCTTCAAATGTGTTGATTTACCTTTTAAAATTTGTATCATAATCATATACTTAAGAGGTGACTTCTGTGATGATTATGTGGTTCTACAGATGGTATTTTCTGCCTTGGCACTAGCTCAATGTGAGGTTATATGGTATTTCCAACATGTGGGAATTGTATCATCAAAATCTAAAGCTGCTCGAATGGTGCCAGTAGACATAGTAGGTCCAAAATTTCTTCTCTGAAGTATCAGTTAAAATTTGTTGACATTGTAGATGGTTCATGAAGCTAATTTGCTGCTGCTCAGTGTGCCTGCCTGTGGTGAAGTGCTGGACTTTGACAGGTTTAAATTTTGTTTGCAGGATCCAAGTGATCCAACTATTGGTTTTTTATTGGATGGAATAGACCATCTTTGCTGTCTAGTGCGCAAGTATATTGCAGGTTAGTTTGGGTTCTTGGTCAACCAGTTTTGCCACAATATTGAAGACATATAATGTTTAATTATTAGTGGAAATTCACCGACTTTGAATTGGCCATTTGAACTAAATCCACCACAAGAAAATGTTATATACTGACAAGTAATGTGCTTTGTCCGTAGAAAATATGGAGAGGCAATGCATTATCAAGCTTCAACTTCTCCAAATTGTAGATATCGCTTTACACATTTGTTTTGAATTTTCTAGTCTAGTTGGCATATATCAAGCGTAATGGCTTTGTTGCCAAACTAATTTTCTGCATAATGATTATATAGTAATGGAGCATTAATGACACTTTGCAGCAATTAGAGGCTATGCATTATCGTATCTATCATCATGTGCTGGTAGAATTAGATTTTTGCTGGGCACCCCAGGAATGGTGGCTCTTGACCTCGATGCAACCTTGAAAGGACTTTTCCAGCAGATAGTTCAACATCTTGAAAACATACCAAAACCACAGGGTGAAAATATATCTGCCATCACATGCGATCTGTCAGTAAGGAATCTATGCCAGCCACCTTTCATTTCTTAGTAGCATAATTAGCATCTCCCTGAGGTTTGTTGTAATATAATCATTCATGTGTTTCTGATTTGTCATTCATCTGCATTGAATTTGTGACTGCAGCATCTGTCCTACCCTGTGTAATTCTTTTTTGTTTTTCAAATGCTTTGTCTGATTTAATCTGTAAGAAACAAAGATATTGTTCTTGTATGAAGTAGAAAATCCAATTTTCATATTTTTGTTGTGATGGTGATTAGTGACTATGACTGGGATACTCAACAACGTATAAGATGTATTATGAAAGATCTGTTGTCACATAGAAAACCTTGGGAAGTTTATCATAAAGAAAACTTAAAAAATTCTTGTTGTCTGCTGTGCATGCATGAGTGCATGTTTTGTACTGAATTTCACATGCTTGATACTCCTAGATTTGTGTTGCTTAGTGCAGTGCCATCGAAATCACCACGTATTTTGAACAGATGCTTAAGTTTTTGCATTGTTATTTAGACCAAACTGCTTCTGAGGAGCTAATATATTTTTTTTAGCAATCAAGACTAAGCAATTTAGCTTGCTTATAGACAAAAGCCTTAGATTTGCTTAGATTTCTTTGCATAAAATTATTGGATTTGTAGTAAAGGAAAAAGCAATCAATCCTGAAAAAAGAAATCTAGCAGACATGGTTGTACTGATTTCATTTACATATCCTTGGTTAAGAATATGGTCAGCATACAACAATCTGACAGAAATAGTTATACAGTGATCTATGTCTCTACATTTCTTGTAATGTTTACTTTATGGATTTCCCGTATATTCTTGTCTGTTGATTGTTTTAAACAATATGTTGATTATTGCAATCCTCAAATGACCTACATTTTGCATTGATTTTTTTCCTCAATTTAAAAGTGAAATATATGTTTATTGTTCAGGAGTTGCGTAAGGATTGGTTATCTATATTGATGATTGTAACTTCTGCTCGGTCATCTATGAACATTAGACATTTAGAGAAAGCTACAGTATCTACTGGAAAGGAGGGGTTAGTGTCAGAAGGAAATGCTGCATACAATTGGTCCAGGTACTCTCCAACTCCCATTTGGTGTATGGGCTGATTATGAATGTACTCCTCACTGAAACTTGCTCATTCTTTCCACTAGGATGTAAATTTAAATTGAGACTCTTTTAATGCACTCTTAACACAATTTTTTGTTGCAGATGAGATATGAGATTGTTGTAAGACTCTGGAACTTTGAAAAATACGTCTTGAGAACTCTTATAATTAACACAATTTTTTGTTGCTTCTATGCATAAATGAGATATGAGTTTGTTGTAAAACTCTGGAACTTTGAAAAATACGTCTTGAAATGTAAATTATGCATATATGGATATTCTTATAGCCAATGGATATATTAGTGGTAAATGTTTGACCCCTGATTTGATGATGTCTATCTTCCTCTGTGAAGAAAGAGATTTCAGATATGGAAATAGATAGAATTCTGTGAGTTTTTTTAATCAAGCAATAAAGTTGTTTAGGTTCTCAGTCGAATCTATTTGCTATTTCACGGAAAGGAAAAACTAGACTTCACCATCAATTTGATTAAAAGCACCAAATGAACATAATCAATGTGCTAGTTGGTAGAGATGGTTGATTGTACTATCTTGAAACCTAAATCCATAAATATTGCACAGCGAAGTACAATTTGTGCCAGAGATATTCATGAGCCAAGTTAGCCTTGATCTTTGCTGCTTGAGTTATGACCTTGTGGCTTAGTGTGAGCTTACCTAGTTGAGCAAATCTGAGATGAGCTTGAGGGTTTGAGATTTTGTTAAAATTTATCAATAAACCTACCACCACTACCACCTCACCTACTCCACTAAACCTAACCCACTACACCTACATCTATATACCCACTACACCTACATCTATATAAGGAACCATTTGTAATAGACAGATATATACAACAAAACAATATCAATCATAATACAAAGACAGATATATACAACAAAACAATATCAATCATAATACATAAATTCTTACATATATCTCAAATTGCTTGAAATTCAGTAATCATGTAAGGGTTCAACGTCTTTTGTGCATGGGAAATTAAGATTTTTAAGTATCCAAAGGATGATCATCAAAGGCTATACTGAAAGAAGGCTGAAAATGTTGCCTGCAAGTTGAGTACACTGAGCCAATTGGAAGACTCCAATTCAAATGTGCCACCAAGTTCTCCATTTTTCTGACTAGCTGAAAATGTTGCCTGCAAGTTGAGTACAGTGAGCCAATTGGAAGACTCCAATTCAAATGTGCCACCAAGTTCTCCATTTTTCTGACTACCTTCTGAGTTTGGCATTCTGGAAACTTTTTGTACCTGATTAGTTTTTGTTACCAGGTTTATCATGATAATGGTTTATGCCAAGTTGCATGCATGGGTTCTTTTGATTCTGCTTCAAATTATTCAGTCACCTTTATAAATACTGAAACTATAGAGAATTCATGTCAGTTCCAGCATTCAATATTGAACTTGCATTAAATGATTTGTATTTGCACATAGATTTGCAATCGATATATGTAATGATTTTTCTGTGTCAATACAGATGTGTTGATGAACTTGAATCTCAGCTATCAAAACATGGGAGTCTGAAAAAGCTTTACTTCTATCACCAGCATCTTACCACTGTAAGTTCTTGCTTTCTGTTTTTGTCTGGTTTGGACGGCCCATCCATGACACACTGCAGTTTTCACATTCATCTACAGTTACAATTCTTAGGTGTGATCCGAACTTAGCCTAAAACAGGTTTTCAGGAACACCATGTTTGGACCTGAAGGGCGTCCTCAACATTGCTGTGCATGGCTTGGTGTTGCTAGTAGTTTTCCCGAATGTGCGTCTGCAATTGTTCCCGAAGAGGTATTCAATTGTCATCCTACTCATTTAGGTATTGCATGCTCATACAAATAGGGAAACCACATGTCATAAGTTAACATGGCAACTTTCTGTTTTCTTTATATTAACAAATACCTGCTACATCTTGATTGAATTTATCATAATTGATGCTCTGCATTGCATATCTTCATCTAGAATACCAGGACTCAGAGTGGTCTACAGAATGACAGTTACTTTAATGAGTACAGGTTACTAAAATTGGTCGAGATGCAGTCCTGTATGTCGAGTCCCTTATTGAATCTATCATGGGAGGACTGGAAGGATTAATCAATATTCTTGACTCTGAAGGAGGCTTTGGCTCTCTGGAGATGCAGGTTGTTACATATTTGTTATGAGTTAGTGTAGCAAATTAGGAAGTTAGTTATATTTCGTTAGACTAATATGTAGTATTTCAGCTTCTACCGGAGCAGGCAGCTACTCTCATGAATCTGACATCAAGAGTTTCAATTCCTTCGTCAAAATCACCAAAAGGAGTGTCTGGTTTTCATTTCCCAGGCTATGAGAGCTATCCTGAAAATGACAGTTCTATAAAAATGTAAGGCATATCAATCAGATGCCAGATTTTTGTTTTACCACTTCTTCTCTTTTTTATTTTTTATTTGGTAGTGTTTATGAAATTGATAGTCAATTTGCTTTTGTGTTAATGGCAGGTTAGAAGCTGCAATGCAGAGGTTGACAAATCTTTGCTCAGTTTTAAATGATATGGAGCCTATATGTGTTCTAAACCATGTCTTTGTTCTGAGGGAGGTAAGGCGTGCTCTATTGATTCCTTGCTTAAATGATAGTGAAATTGGAGTTACATGTCTTACTGACTCCTTAATCTAATGCTTTGTTATTTTGCTAATGATGTCTCCTCTTCTCCTTTGTTAACTATTTGCCTCATCTATTTTGGTCTGTTTACATTTAGTAATAATTTATTATTATTATTATTCTCTCTCTTTTCTTGTATAAAAAGCTCAATGCCAATGTATAAGCCGGACAAGATGCAAGGGGAACAACAAAGTAAGGGGTTCCTTGCATCAGTATTTGTTGCATATACTTGTGTGCATTTCCTCTCTTAATCACCAAAGAAGAAACATCTTTAAATTTTACTAGGTCAAGTTTATCCCATTTATACTACTAACTGAAGAGAATTGCATGGACTTAGATCTGGCTAGATGGCATGCACGTAACAAATATATATATGAAATTAAGTTTTTTGTGAGTATATCTTTGCTTAAACACACACACAAACATATTGGACGTGAAGTATAACATATCTATCCCTAAACTACTTTCTTCTGAGCACCTATTTTACAATGCAGTACATGAGAGAATGCATCCTTGTGAACTTCAAGAGGAGACTGCTTGCAGTACTGAAAACTGATAACGATCTTCAGCGGCCTTCTGTTCTGGAGTCACTGATTCGTAGACATATTAGCATAGTCCATCTTGCAGAGCAACATATTAGTATGGACCTGACACAGGGTATCCGTGAAGTTTTACTCACAGAAGCCTTCTCTGGTCCAGTTTCTTCTCTGCATTTGTTTGATAAACCTGAGGAGCAGCATACTGGATCAGCCACTGAAGCTGTTTGCCACTGGTACATTGAAAACATTGTCAAAGACATGTCTGGTGCTGGAATCTTGTTTGCACCACTTCATAGATGCTTTAAGAGCACAAGGCCTGTTGGGGGTTATTTTGCAGAGTCCGTTACTGATCTCAGGGAATTGCAAGCCTTTGTTCGTATTTTTGGTGGATATGGAGTTGACAAGTTGGACACAATGATTAAAGAACACACAGCTGCACTTTTAAATTGCATTGACACATCATTGCGTGCAAACCGAGAGCTGCTAGAGGCAGTTGCTGGAAGCATGCATTCTGGTGACCGGATAGAAAGAGAGGCAAATATGAAGCAGATTATAGATATGGAGACGGTAGTTGGGTTTTGTATTCAGGCAGGACAAGCCATAGCCTTTGATTGCCTTTTAGTAGAAGCTTCTGGAGGAGTGCTTGAAGATGGTGCACCTCTAATACACTCTTTGCTAGCTGGGGTTGTTAAGCATTTACCTGATGAAATCCCTGAGAAGAAGGAAATTAGGAGGATGAGAAGAGTGGCAAATAGTGTTGGTGTAATCACTGATCATGATACTGAGTGGGTAAGATCAATTTTGGAAGAGGTCGGAGGTGCTAATGATGGTTCATGGAGTTTGTTGCCATATTTCTTTGCTACCTTCATGACATCAAATATCTGGAACACTACTGCTTTCAATGTTGACACTGGGGGCTTCAACAACAATATCCACTGTTTGGCAAGGTGAGATGCTTTTGATTTATCATAATTCAAGAAAAAAGTTGTAGTTAAGTACTTGAAGGTATGATGAATGCTTCATTCACCCTTCAGTGGGAATGAAACAGGCATAAAGATGATCCCTGTTGGGCCTTTAGCAGTATGCCATTTATCTGATCTTTCTTGAATAATTATCAGGTTGAGGAACCGCATTCTACTGTACATGTAGGATAATAATGGCACATTTATCTGATGGAAACCTCAAAGCCAATGATGACTCTGATTGCCTCTGTAATATTGTCTAATATGTATCATTTCTGTTGTTTTCCTTTTTTATGTCTAAAAATAATAATGGAATTGAAACCATCTCTGTAATTCGCCAATTTGACAGCCCTCTGTGTGACCTCAATTGAATATTGTGCCTTGTCCAGTGGATCCATTTAGTTTTGGATACAGATGTTTAAAATATGGTATTGTACCTCTCTGCTCAACATTTCTCAGATTTTCATATGCAAATGATGTCATGTAGGTGCATTTGTGCTGTGATTGCGGGAAGTGAGTTTGTTAGACTGGAAAGAGAACATCAGCAGAAACAGTCTTTTTCAAATGGCCATGTTAGTGAGACATTGGATCCTGAGATACATAACCGCTTGTCAGCTGAAACAAGTGTAAAGTCCACAATGCAGCTCTTTATTAAGTTCTCTGCAGGAATTATACTGGATTCTTGGAATGAATTCAACAGGTAAGAATGATTATCTTTTCATAACTACCGAGAGTTGGTAATATCAATCTTGCCTTCTGAGTGCAGCCTTATAACAAATGCACCTTATATCTTTGTACTGTGTTCTGTTTCTTCTTCTTCTTCTTTTGTGTGTGTATTGACTTAGCCAAACTTACCCAAGAGTTGAATTGGTCTAGTCATGTCAAGGTTCCCGGGTCATACTGAAACTTCACTCAGTCCAGTTGTTTTCAAACTAAAGTAAAAAGTGAGGTTATATACCAAAACATTCTTTTAAGGTGTATGTCGGTCTTGGTGATGATCATAATTTTCTCCTTCTATAGTAATTGCATCTGTTAGTGATTTCAAACTCTTAATATGCTGCATTTCTGCACAGATCTCATCTTGTGGCGAAGCTCATCTTCCTGGACCAATTGTGTGAGATCTCACAGTACCTCCCAAGAAGCTCGCTTGAAGCCCACGTTCCCTACCCCATTCTCCGTTCAATATATAGTCAGTACTATGCGAATTCTCCCTCCACACCGCTGGCTTTACTCAGTGCATCACCACGCCAATCGCCTGCTGTATCTCTATCACATGCATCTCCTTTAATCAGGCCACGTGGCGATTCAACTCCTCAGTCAATTGTTACTGATTCGGGTTATTTTAAGGCATCATCAGCTCACGGCCAGGATCAACCATATGACACTGATAGTGGAAGCATACGAGGTGTTGACAACAACAAACATCGGAATGTTCGGCGGAGTGGTCCGCTGGATTATAGCACAAGCCGCAAAGTGAAGTTTGTCGAAGGCTCAACATCAGGGAGCACTGGTCCCAGTCCACTGCCAAGGTTTGCTGTGTCAAGATCTGGTCCTATATCATATAAGTAGAAATGAAACCAAAACTTTAACACTAGAAGTAAATATGTGCTTAAATGTTTAGTTTTTTAGGTATTTGTAATTATCATTGAAGTGATTTATATAAATTTTGGCAATATTTATATTCAAACTCATTTCACAGCATGCTTCTTGTGCCTGGCCCTGATGAGATATAATTGATCTATGCAGCTAAAATATTCATTGGTGGAACTATATGACTTGTGCATTGTTGTGCTCACTTGCCAGCTTCTGAAATGGGTAATGCAGTAGCCCAAATAGAAGGTTATTATTTGTCCTTGGAGTTTGCACAGATTTTCAACATGTAGAAGTGCTATATGAACATATAAATTCACAATCTTGTCTCAGGTCTCCTTTGGAATATGTTATTTTAGTAATTTTTTAATTTTTTGACTAAAATATGAATAAAAAAATAATATATTTGAAATGATTTTTTTATAAAAAGATGTGTAAAAAATAGAAAGAAAATGAAAATTTTAACTTTTTGATATAAATTACAAACTTCTTAATTTTTTTAATAATTTTTTAACTTTTAGGCTAAAACTATTACACGCCAAATGAGACCTTACTCTCAAATAATATGACAGAAGCAATTCAACTGCAACATATATGACTAAGAATAACTTGTGACGTTTATGTTTATATATTATTACTCTTTGGCCATATTTGGTGCAATTTGTGGCAATGCGTTTGGTTCAGTTTTTATTTATAACTTGTAAGGCAAATATAAGCTGAAAAAAAGAGAGCTGATTATTGAAAAGTTTGAGTTGTTTTGAGTTTTTATTTTATGAATGTAGGAGTTGTTTTGAGTTTTTATTTTTATTTTTTGAATATCAACTTTAGATTTGCATGCTGTACCGAAGAAAAAGCATGCCCTAAGCACAAAGACTGTTTCACTATTTTAACAGCCCCTTTAAAAAGATAAAAAAGGGCAACTTGCTTTTTTATTGTAGAAGGAAAAAGATAATAAATTCACCACCCTATACATAAATATTCACAAGCTTCCATATCCTCAACACAACACACCATACAATAAGCACATTACAACATAATAACTAGCAAATATCATTATTAATAAAATCAAAGTTGCCAACTCAGCTCAACGGAGATGATGCCTGCAAGATAAAAATGCAAAAGAAAAGATATTGATCATATAAAATCACAAAGTTGAAAATTAAGAGATTTTTTTTTTTTTTCCCCAAGATAGAGAGAGGCTAAAAGACGCAAAGGAAGAAAGGACAAAAAACCTCAAAGTTTCTTTGGTTCCACGTCGAACTTTACAGCGTATTGTAGGGAGGCCTAGGCGTTGGTGAGCCTCAAATCGGTGACAACCTGAGAAACCTGTGTGTGTGTGAAGATGCAGAAAGAGATAAACAAGTCCGGTGAATCATGTATGAGAAAATTCCAAGGTCATAACATAACATTGGAGAATAACTAGACTAGAGGTTTTTTTTTTTTTTTTTTTTTTTTTTTTGGGTCTTTTTTGTATTTGATTTCAGTTTCTATGTAGGTCAATCTCTATGGTAATTTTTGAATCAAAAATTATCTCTATGGTAATGAAAACTATTGAAAAAAAAAAACTAGTAGTAATTAATAATTTGGTATTATGGAGAAATTGAAATGAGGGCGTACCATAGTAAACTCCATCAACCTCAAGCACATCAATCTGCGTTATTGTATTACAGATAGATAAGTTAAAATAAGAGTGAATGAATTATTGAATAATTTTATGCACAAATTCTGTAGAGAGAGCTGTATTGTATTGTATTGTATTGTATTGTATTGAATAAGAAGAGCATCCACAGAATGAAAGTAAAATGTTTTAAAAAATTGTTCCCAAGCAAACCAACCCCCATTGGTTTTGGTTTTGGTTTTGGTTTGGGCAAGTAGTAGCTATGTATCTCCCTTTGGGTTGGGATTAACCTAATCGGAAATAGTAGGGAAGGGTAAATACCGGAACTTGAAGACCGATTTGGCTAATGCTGTCCATGAGATCTTTCACCTTCTCAGGATCGTTGGATCTCGTCCTTAACAGCGGCCTTCGTATCTTGTCCATTGGAATTTCCACAATTACTGGTCCTCCTCCTCCTCCTCCTCCTTGACCCACACCTGAAGGAGCTCCTGAATGAAGAAAAGAGAAAGAGCTCTCATTTTTAACAGAATAGGGTTTATCTCAATTCAAACTATATATATATATAGAGAGAGAGAGAGAGAGAGAGAGTAACCATTGGAAGAAGCTGAAACAGAGAAGTTTCTGAAGTTGTTTGGAATTCGAAGAAGGAAACTCGCCATTTTTGGGTACACTACAACTCTGTTTTGTTTATGGCTCTCCCTCAATTCTCACCACACACACCCACACCACCACTGTCCCAAGACAGAGATATAGAGAGAAGAAAGGGGGGATATGTTATGGTAGAAACGGGATTACATCAAAAGGCTATACCATGTTAAACAAGAGCCGTTGATCAACAAGTCGGTATATCAGATGATCCAAACGAGATTAAAAACAAAAAAAATAAAAAATAAAGATTTCTGTCTCTCTCTCTCTCTCTCTCTCTCTCTCTCTAGTTAGTCACACTCAGCTCAGCATTCGCAGAAATGGCTTCGTTGAACTCCTTCACCCTATTAAGGTACTCCTCCCCCCTTCCCAAACCCCTCTCTCTGTCTCTGTCTCTGTCTCTCTGTCTCTCTCTCTCTCTCTCTCTCTCTCTCTCTATATATATATATATATATAAATATGTATATATATTGAATTTTGTGTGTAGAATTGAATTGGGTTTTGTTGTTGGAAACAGGACTTCCGGAATTGTAAGAACTTTGGCCACAATCAGACCTCATACTCCGCGGCCTTTTCATATTCCTCTCCAATTTCGCAGGTATATATTATACGTACATTTCAATCCATTGTATATGTATTATCTATGTATGTATGTATGTGATCCATTGTTGATTTCGAATACAACCCAGTCGTTTGTCAAGTCCTTGTGCTCTGATTAGCTGTCTGTGGTATCTCCTCAATATTGACGTACTCTTTTGGTTGAATATTGTTTTGTAAAGTACTATTTATTGAAAATTATGCATTTTTTTAAAACTATTTAACAAATTATAGCAACTTCAAATCTTGATTTCATCTGTAGTCACATCTTCAAGTTGTAATTTTGTAGTGAGTTACCCAAATACCAAATTTTCAATTTCATTACACAGTGAAATGGCAGTTTTCAACTTCACCATGAAATAAATTGCAGATTCAACTTGAGATTTCATCATTGTATAAATAATTAAGTAGATTTCAATTTTGGGATAAAATTGAATGTTCAACTTGAGATTTCACTTCATCCATTAACTAAACCCTCCTCTCAGTCATTCCAATTGACCTAAGAATGAATTTCCACTAATTATGAAATCGCATGTTGAACTTGGTACCAGCTAATTATCAGCACACACCACTAATCAACTAATTCACAATTGCTTTGCACATAATTATACTGACATTAAGTGTTTTTTATTTATTTATTTATTTTTTTATTTTATGTGCTGGTAACTATGTCTATGTCATTGCTATATCTTTACCATACAAACCCCTATTTTACCTCACTTGTATAAGAACTTGCATCGATTTATGTAGTTTTTGTTGATTTTATTTTTTTATTTGGCAGAGCCACCTATTGTGTTAGTGCTACAAATGATGAAGAGGCCTCTGCAAGAGAAGCTGCAGCCAGTGCTGACACTGGAGCTCCAACCATGTATTATTGCTTCTTGGATGCTCGCTCGTATTGTCATGGCATTTATTTTTTTTATATCATAATCAAATTGGAAACAATTATCTGAGCTTTGCAAAGTTGTAAATGTTTGATGAAATTGTTGGTAACTTTGTGGATATTAGGATTGAATTTGAAAAATAATATAGCTTGATCAAACCTTAAATTCTAAAAGAGGCATAATACACTCTTTGGAGCCACAAAATTTAAACAACTTAGAAAAGAAGTTCAAGAGAAAGTCCTTGCTGGCTTTTGGAATAGATTGATGTACAAGACAACTGGATTGTTTTTTCTTTTTTTTCTTGTTGGCTTGAAACACGGGTAAATTTTTTTTGGCTTTTGCTGAAAAGTTGTGTTTGTGCACATGTGTGTGTGTGTGTGTGAGAGAGAGAGAGAGAGAGAGAGAGAGAGAGGAGTTCTAATATTTGACTGTATCTAAAGTATGTTTGTTTGTTTAATTTATGCTCTCTTTTTTTCAATGTTAGATTTGACAAGATCATAGCTAAGGAGATCCCTTCCAATATAGTTTATGAGGATGACAAGGTCTTGGCATTTCGGGATATCAACCCACAAGCTCCTGTTCATGTTTTAGTCATTCCGAAGCATAGGAATGGATTAACACAGCTTGGCAAGGTAATTTTTCTTTTTATTTTTGGCTTTCACCTGTTTAGCTGAGCTGATAATCAAAAGGATTATGCTCACTTTTTGTATGCCTTATGTATGTTTGGCCATATGGACAAGGTGACTCCACTATTGATGACAGTTATTCTGCTGATATGCTTCTCGGGGATAAGTTGAGACTTCATATTAAAGTAGTGTTACCAGTTTCTTGTTTTTTGTTTACAAGAAACATTTTTTTGTTAAAAAAACACATGGTTCTAAAAATAAACAAGATAACATGTTAGGTGAGTTACTAGAGGGCCAGAGGGGTGGAGGAAGGAAGGAGGGAAGGGATTTATACTAGGTATGGAAACAAGTGAAAACACATTTTTTTGATTCCTCTTTTTCATGATAAGTACTGTGGTTTCACCTCCAGTTCTTATGATACTGCTCTTTTTATCCGGAAGACTGCTCAAGGGACCACCTTGCTTCTTCTTTATGTGGATGATATGATTATCACCGGTGACGATCTTGATGGTATTGTATGCCTTAAACAATTTCTTAGTCATCATTTCGAGATGAAAGACCTTGGTCCTCTCAGCTATTTCCTGGGTCTTGAAATCTTCCATGATTCCACGGGGTATTTTCTCTCTCAGGCTAAGTATACCTCTGATCTTCTCACCCGCGCTGGTCTTACGGATTGCAAGACTGCCTCCACTCCCCTGGAGCCTCAGAGTCGTCTTACACCTCTTGATGGCACTCTTCTCTCTGATGCTACCCTATATCGTCAGCTGGTTGGCAGCCTTGTCTATCTCACTGTTACTCGTCCTGATATTGCCTATGCCGTTCATATTGTCAGCCAGTTTATGTCTGCTCCTCGTACACCTCATTATGCTGCATTAGTTCGTATCCTTCGTTATCTCAAAGGTACCTTGTTTCATGGACTTCATTATTCCGCCCGCTCCTCTCTCCAGCTTCGTGCTTTTTCTGATGCTGACTGGGCTGGGGATCCTACTGACCGGCGCTCTACTACCGGGTTCTGCTTTTCTTGGGTGATTCCCTTATTTCTTGGCGCAGCAAGAAACAATCTCTTACTGCTCGCTCCAGTACAGAGGCCGAATACCGTGCTCTTGCTGATACTACTCAAGAGCTTCTCTGGCGTCATTGGCTTCTTGCTGACATAGATGTTACCCCCTCTGGAGCTACTGACCTCTTTTGTGACAATCAGAGTGCTATTCAAATTGTTCACAATGATGTTTTTCATTATCGCACCAAGCACATTGAGATTGACTGTCATTTTATTCGTCAACACGTCACTCATGGTACTGTCCATCTCCATCCAATCTCCTCTGCTGATCAACCTGCTAATATCTTCACCAAAGCCCATTCTCCTGGCCGCTTCGTTGAACTTGTCTCCAAACTCCAGTTGGTTGATGTTCATCCTCCTTGAGTTTGAGGGGGGCTGTTAATATATAATTGAATATAATACTAATTGAATATAATACAATACTATACCTGTTGTTAATATATTATAGTATAAGAGTCAACACCAATTATAGCATAGGATTCCCTTTGTCAGAGTGCTTTCGGTGCGCCACCAGCTTTCGGCCACTTTTTCTTATTATATTCAAATGTATCATCATAATGTTTGTGTAACAAACTCCTATATAATGGAGCCTCAATCTTGATTCAATACAGAGTTTAGATTACAAATTCTCTTTCAATATTACTCTCTCAATTTGTCTTTCAGTTCCATTTACATCCTCATACTCAAAGTATTGCTTCGCCTGAATCACGTAATTGATAAGCTTGGTGCTGCATCACATATCCATATTACATGATCTATGTTCCATAAAGCATTAGCAAAGTGTATATATATATATATTGAGAGAGAGAGAGTCTGCGCAAAAAATACCTTTTTTAGCTCCTGTTGAAATTCCAGAATTCTCTCTGTGCTTACTCCCCTAAGGGATTTGACCAAGTATCCAGGCTTTACAGCTGAGTTTGTATCGACAAAAACTGCAATTTTTCTATATTCTATAACGTCTTCAAAAGGCAACTCAATGTAGTCGCTAACTATAACTGGAACACACAAGCTCACAATAGCATCAAATAGTTGACAGGCTGACGGAGTATCGCCAGCAGGATGTAAACAGAACTTTGATGTATGCATCCCTTGCGAAGCTGCACGTCGACTCTCTCTGGATGGTGCACTGTGTTTTATTATCACATCTTCTTCCTTCTCAAGTAGTTGAAAAAGCATGTCACGAATTTTCCCACCCTACAATGCAAGCAATTGTCAGTTTACATATAGGCTCATATAACATGCACAGACATCTCACACAGACTGAGCGTCTGCAAATACACACATAGACAATAAATAACCAAATTTTGCCTGCCAAAATAACGAGCACAACAACTACTTACTTGCGCAAGAAGAGAAAAACATCCATGCAATCTACCAATTAAAGAAGCATTAAACCAGAAAGAGGAAGACAAGAGGACCTAAAAAGGAAAATAGACAAGGGTGGTGGAAATTACAACTGCCTACCAATCCGGTGAGACAACCTAAACCCCAAAGGCCATTATCTGTTGAATGTGGATGCTCCCTAGACCCCAACTCCACGATGAGGAGATGAGCGAGTTGTAAAGCCAAGAATATGAAAGTAAACGAGCACTGAAGCGGAACTTCGAGGAAACATCACAAGACAAAAAGGTGACAAAAGGAAGAAAAATCAACTACCATGGTTTCAATCCAAAGTTCCACACAAAACAAATCAAGCAATATTAGTCATCATCATCAGTACACAAAATTCAAGTTAAATTCTCCAAAGATTGCATTGATCTCATCATTTCTTTGTCATGATAATTTGTTTTGCCTCGTATCTACATGTTAATTTGAGTGTAAATAGAACATGTTGTCCCTTACATCCACAGGGACAGGATAAGCTCATTCTCCCCAAAATGGCTTCTTTCTCCTCTCTTTCTGTATACATATACTACATATACATATATCTGTGTCAATCAGCAAGCTTAATTTTACAATCTTGTAGTAGAACCAAGCATATTTAACGCAACCAAAAGCATAGAAATTTACCTCTTTCCGGTACCGGTTCCCCATAAAGAACACCAACGACTTCCTAGACTCAACACCAACATCCCCATCAAAGGTTTTAATCAGATGCGAATATGGCAATATCACATCCTTCACCAACGAAAACTCCGAAACAAGCAACACCCCATTCTTAACTCTATCCACAACCTTGTACAATGCATTGGGGTCCTGACATATAATCACATGGCCCCACCCATTGTTCCTCTTCCAATACCCATGTTCCTCCAACCACTCAATCAAACTCTCCTGCATCTCCTCATCCACATGTTGGAAAATGGTTTTATATAGGCATATTTTTTAGCTCAATTTTGAGTGAGCCCCAGATGTCTTTTAGGGTGGGTCCGAAGAGGTGATGTGTTCCTTGTCGCGTGGCAAGTCACACAGTGAAGACGGAACGTCAAAACCATTTATGAGTGAATGGGAAGTTGACGTCGTTTTCGGATTTAACTTTAATTTTTTAGATTAAATTCATTTGAATTTTTTCAATAAAAAATTATGGTGGGAATTCAATTTAATTCTAAATTCAAATTTTGAGTTCCTTTCTTAAAATTTGTAATTGTGAGATTTTAATTTAATTCTAAATTCAAATTTTAGGTTCCTAAAAAGTTTCCTAAAGTTTGTACCTCATCATTTATTTATTTATTTAACTATTTCAATAATTTAATATATATATATATATATATATTTGAAATAGTTTGAATAATTAATAAAGTTCTATAGGTTATAATTGTTGACTAACGGTCAAACTTTTCAAAGTTGTTTGAACATTGGTTTTCCTTGTGCCGTTGGTCAGACAATTGTTTTGCACCTTTTCACTTATTTGAAGCACCTTTTCGGGTCTAATTTGTTGCCTATATATATAGATACATTTCCAGCAGTTGAGACACCCCGGAAAATTCAGTCTGTATTTTTTTTTTAATATTGCTGTCCTCTTTGCTCTAAGTACATATATTCTTCATATATAATTTTAGAAAAAAAAAATATTCAGAGAGTTAGAACACAGGTTTGGTTCGCCGAACAAGTTGTTTGGAGTACTACTACAATTTATGAAGATCATTGTATCTTGGGAGATAGACGCCACTCAACTGTAAGTACCATAGCGGAGCGAATCTGTCTTAAGGACAGAGTGTCACACACTCGACTTGGTCTTGTAATTTTTATTTGGTTCGACAAAATAAATTCGGTATGTTATTTATTTATTTTGTTTGATTTTATTTCTTGTTATTTTATTTACACAGAAGATTGTTCCAACAATCTTAAGACAGATTCGAATTATTCTGTTTACAGAATTTTTCGTTTGTTTTCCTTTTTCATTCTTCGTAAATAATTTCGGAAGAAAATTATTTTCTGTGGATTTACAAAATAATATTCTGGTTGGAAAAATAAATAGTGATTATATGCTATTTGATAGATAGTAATAATATACTGTCTCTTTTCTTTGACAACAACTAGTAGTACGATACTGGTGTCATTAACAATTCAGAATATATTTTTGTGGAATTTTTTCAGAAATTAATTTTGGGTTTTAGAAATTATTTTGTGAGTTTTCATTAATTAAAATTCTGTTTCAGTATTTTAATTATTGAAGTGTTACTGAAATTAATTTTCTTGTGTGGAATTAATTTGGTTAAATAAAATTTTATTTTATTTTCAAATTAATTGGTTCTGTCTTCACTGTGTGACTTGCCACGTGGTAAGGAACACATCACCTCTTCGGACCCACCCCAAAAGACGTTTGGGGCCCACTCAAAATTGAGCTAAAAAATATGCCTATATATAAAACCATTTTCCAACAATCCCCACATGAATGGAATTTAACGGAGAGAAAATGCAACAACATCATCTAATTACAGAGAGTACAGAAATTGAAAATATTCTGCAAAGGATAGGTAGCTTTTGGCTTTGAACCTTCCTTGTGAGATACTATCGGATTTACTAACTAACCAGTGAACATGATGTCTTGAACTGTTCAGCCGTTTGTGTAAACCAAGACAATAGAACTCACACAGTATATTCTAGACACAATTTAGTTCTCACTATTGTGTTCATTTTGGCCCTGAACAACCTGGTCTGTCATGAGTGGCTCTAAAGATTTGTAGCCCTTCACAAATCTTATAGAACCGACCCAGTTCACACTCACATAGGTGATTCTTATGAAAAGTATCTTGCCATACTCCACTAGGTTTACCTAGATATAAGAATCATTAAAAGTATTACTTAACCTAAATCGCTGCAGACATACTTATTTCATCATAGAAATGGGTAGGAGTTGGACTCCACAGTGATCCTTCTGATCAATCACAACTCGGTTGTCCCTTTGAACCTAGATCTTGGGATCTTCAGTCAACTAGGTTGGATTGCCGTTGTGGTAACTCCTTATTTAATAGGCTTAA